CTCCCAAGTAGCTGGGACTACAGGCACCCACCACAACATTTGGCTAATTTTTCTATTTTTAGTAGAGACAGAGTCTCATTCTTCCTCAGGCTGGTCTCGAACTCCTGAGCTAAAGCAATCTTCCCACCCCAGCCTCTCAGAGTTCTAGGATTACAGGTGTGAGCCACTGCCCCTGACCAGGAGTTCTCAGATTGCCCCTGCTGTAGAGGAAGAATGCCATCACAGAATGAGTGCTGCTGAGAGCTGTCCTCTGCTGTTTTGCCAGAAGTACCTCCTCACCTTTACTCTACATCTAAGAACTTTGAGTCTGTTTTGAGAAAAGCCTCTTAAAGAACAAAGCTGTTGAGTAGAGTGAAGGAGCTACAACAACCATGATGATAGCAAGAAAATATTGCTACAAATAAGTTGCCCATGTTTAAATCCTGAGCTTCCACTTCTGTGCACAGCTTGGGACTAGCATTCTACTTTGAAGGCATTCAGGAAAGTGGGCATCTTTGCCAGATAAATTTGCACTAGTTAAGATCAGCCCTTTTTGTACTTTGAGAGCCAAAATTCAATTTATGAATCTTCTGCCAAAAACAGAACCGTCTATTAAGTTACCTACGTGGAAGAATGAGTGTAACTGCTTGGGTAGTGCAAACCATGGGATTTAACAAGCTTTTATTGAAGTGGAGACATATCATTACTTTCCACAGGCACAAAGGAAATGTCTACCTTTGATTTACGCCAAAAGGAAGCAGCAACAAAGTGGCTCAAAGAAAGGGTAGCAGAGTTCAAAAGCTGTGATGAAGATCCTGCCTCCCACGTTAGTTCTCCCCCGTGCTCAGCATAACAGTGTGTGATTAGTACTTAAAGGTGGTTGCACATCTGACAACTGGAAGAAAAGATTACACAAAGATACCTCCAAATACTCTTAGAGTCAAGCAATATGGGAGAAGACTTACGGGCACCCAATCTTTCTAGTAAATTTATAAATGATGAATTTATTTTTACTTTAAATTTAGAAACTCAATTAAGCATGGCGAACTAAAAGTTCCTTCCAGTTCACAGATGTTATTAATATTCCCACACGTCACTTGATCATCCTGTACAATGTTTATTAGTCCTTCTCATGCCACATGTAAAAACGACAATAGCCCTGTTTTAATTTGTTGTTGTTGTTCACATAAACACATATCACTGGTAAAGACAGAAAGGTACAAAAAGAAGAAGATAGCTTGCTATCGACTAGAATTAAAAGTGTCTAGAATGGAAGCAACTTAAGAAGCGTTTATAAAGTTCTCGGGGAGGACAGAGCTCACTGACAGCCCGTGGGCCTACTGGAGAATAAAAATGACATTCACCCAAATCGGAAAGGCTTCCTCCAGGAGTACAGGGACCACAGGTAGCTGGCATTTGTCCCTGTGCACCAGAATGCCTCTGGATATATGAAAAGGGACCCCAGAGAGCCAATACTCTCAGAGATCCTGCACTTGGTGACTGCTTCTTGTTGTATCCTTTGCCCATAATTATCAAACACATGGTCAAGTCTGGTCAGCTTTACTAATGTGAGTTTGTCTCATATGTCAAGAGTCATAGTCCTGTTTGATCCCAGGTTAAGATCTATGATTCCAGAATAGTATTCAAGAGAATGCAACTGAATTGTACGGATGTACTAAAATTTACTTAGCCACAAATCTACTTATAGACTTTTAGGCTGCTGTAAATGTTTTGCTTTTACAAACATACAGTACTACAAGGAACGCTCATATACACAGACCTTAATACATTCATGCTATTGTTCTAGGGATACAATCATGGAAGTGGTTTTGCTGAGTCAAAAGGTCATGAACGTTTGTAATTCAAATTACCTTTCTAAAGAGTTGCACCAGTGTTTTCTTTGTCTAATAAAGGCCCTCTCATTCATATTATTTCCATCACTGGAGATTATCTGTCTTATTAAGTTTTGCTTTTCCTTCATCATTAGTGAGGCCAAGGATCTATTTCTACGTTAATTGGCTATCTGAAGACCCACAAATTGCCTTTTCACGGCCTTTTGATTTGCTTTGCTATTGTTAATATGTGTAGGCTAGTTTGTCTTTTCTGATTGTAGTGGGTTTTAGTTTACGAGTGTTACTTTTTGTTTTATATGCTACAAATACAAATACAAATTCCTCAACTTCCCCATCCCCTATTCAATTCCCCTCCCTGCTTCTGCCTTTTAACTTGGTTTAGGATGTCATTTGCCATTCAGAAGTTTCAATATAATGAAATCTTCCCCTTGAACCATTCCAGGTTTTAGCTATTAAAGACGTTATTTCCATTCTCTAAGATTATTATAGACCCATCCTTGTACGTTTTCTTTTAAGTCTTTAATATTTGCCTTTTAATATAAATAATATAAAACTACAATCCATATGGAATTTGGCTTTGTATGTGATGAGATATAAAGCTCCAACTTAATTCTCTTACAAATAGTCAGCTGGCTCAAACCCCGTAGACGGAAAAATCATCTTTTCTCCAATGATTTGAAAAGCCATGTTTATCCTGTATAAATACTTTAATCTGTTTCTGGACGCTAATTTGTTTTAATTAGCAATTTACTTGCACTCGTCTTCTAGATTTCAGAAATTACATGGACTTGAGGAAATTTGGGGTTCCAACTCTCATAAAAGGCCCTCGTCTTCATTAGTCAGAGCCAGGGTCGCTGATGTGGCAAACACACGTCCAGGACACACCTTTTTTTTTTCAATTCACCTGTTACTAGCTTTGCTGCGCCCCCCCTCCATAGCAGCTTTGTGTGGGACACCCAGCATGTGTTTGCTGAATGAGTTAGTGTGGAATAGTGAGTTCACTCAGACAAAAGTATAAGATAAAATGTGAAAGTCTTCATAGGATCAGTATCAAGTTGCAGCTTATTAACAATATGTCCTAGGAAGGGCAAAAGATAGTTTATATTATTGAAAGAATACAGCAGTTTCACTAAAGCTACTAAAACAGCTTATCTCCTAAAAAGTATTGACGCCATGCATTTTGGTGGGCCGCTCAGGCTGCTGGCCACTCCCCTCTCCCACTCTCCAAGTCAGCACAGTATTTTTTTCTCTCTCCCCAGATTTCCAGAAGAAAACCTTTGCATCTTCCTACCACACTACCACGCACCCTGCTTCCCTCCTGGTAGAAATAAATGCTCTTGGTAAGGACAACCCCCTATCCCAGCTAACTTGCCCAAGAACTTTGTGTTACCTCTTTCCTGTGCCATTCCTCTCTTCTAGATCATTCCATTCAGCACCCAAACTGTAAACACCTTCATTGTGAAGAAAGCCTCCTCCGCCCACATCCCTCTCCAGCTGCCACGTTTCCTTGCCCCTCTGTAGTGGAATTCCTTGGGATAGTGTCCGTACTGGCTGCAGTGTTGTCCTCTCCACTTTTCATCTCTGGAACATACTCCAGTCGAGTTTGACCTCCACTGCTCCTCTGAATTTGTTACAATCGGGGTCATCACTATCTCCACGTGGCCAAGAACAGTCCGTTCTCAGGGCTCCGCCACTTTGGACACAGCTGAACACGCTGTTCCTAAAACTGAGCACTCTGTCCTGTTCCGGGACACCCAGTTCTCATGGCTTTTTGACAACTCACTGGCTGCTCCTTCTCAGTCCTCTCTGATGAATTCCCCCAACTCTCTGATTTCTCTCTGTAGGAGTGGCCCAGGCCTCCGTCCTTGAAATTCCAGGGAATCTCATCTAGTTTGAAGGCTTTACATATCTTAGACATGCCTCGAATTTTTATCGCCATACAAAGCCTCAGTCCAGAACACAAGTCACGAATACAACTACACACTCCGCACCTTCACCGCATGTCCACTCACCGCATCAACACCGCGCGTGTCCAAAGGCAGAACAACAAGAGTAGCCCGGCCCAGCTCCTGCTCTTCCTCGGCATCTGCCCGTTCAGCTACGACCGTTGCTAAGCGCCCTTTGGCTCTGCCTCAGTTACTCCGAGTCCCTCCTCGCCGGTCTTTACACCCACTCCGCCACATTCCCTTTCCCCAGTCTGTTCGCCATCAGTAGCTTTCATGATCTTTTAAAGTTATAAACCATATGATGTAACTCTTACACTCAAAATTGTTCAATTGTTTCCCATCCATCATTTGGAATAAAACCCAGTGTCTTTGCCTCTCTGAAGTTGTGCTCTGAGCACTGCCTGTCTGTCCAACCTCAATTCTAACTACCACATCACTCACCTTTCCCCCAAACACAACTACGAGTACACTGGTGCTTGCAGTGTCTTGGGTGTACATCAAACTAATTTCAGACTCAGGGTCTTTGCTCTTTGCTCTTCTCTCTATTGATTCTCTTTTAAATCTCTGCTCAAATGCTACCTTTTCTCTATTATTTTTTATCCTGCTTTCTCTTCCTTCATAGTCCCTAACACAGTCATCCTCAGTATCTGTGGGCATTGGTTTCAGAACCCTCCAAAGATATCAAAATCCACGGATGTTCCGTGATACAAAATGGTGCAGTACTGGTATATAACTTATGCACGTCCTGCCATATACTTTAATTCATCTTAACTGTCAGGCTAATACAAGGTAAATGCTGGGTAAACAGCTGTTACAGTGGCTTCTTTAGGGAAGGAAAAAAGCCAGTACATGTGCGGTACAGACACAATCATCTTTTTTATTCCTCCCAATACATTCAATCCCAGTTGGATAAATACTTGGATACATAAGGCATGGATACAGAGGGCTGTCTGTACTATGTACATTCTGTATTTGTTATCAAACATCTGAACTAGGATGGAAATTCCATGAAAGCCTGGGTTTCTTTTTACTTGCTGTTTTTATCCTCAGAGCCTAGAACAGTACCTGACACACAGTGTCAGTGTCACAATGTTCAATAAATATTTGTTGAAGAATTAGGTCAACAGATGGGCATGCAGAAGGTTTGACTACGAATTTGGCATAATGATCGTAGCTTAATGCATAGTCTGTTAGGGCAAAACTGTTTTTGAGCATTACTTACTTTGCGTTGTTTTGTGGAGTCCAATTTTATGAGCCAATAGGAAGCCACTTTTGTTTTATGATGCTTCCAATTATCAATGATCTATTTTGGGGCAGAAACATGAAGAAATTAAACTAGATTATTCATCAGAAGTAATAAATACAACATTATTTTATGTATATAATGAAAATCAACGTTATCAATTAATTTATATAAGATTAGGTCTGTAATATTACTTGCAATAAATAATGCTTTCATAAAAAGACATGTAAAAAGATCTCTAACCAGAGGCAAAGAACCCATTTCAATCCAAAGCTTTCTCTTCTTTTTGGACCAAGAACACACTTTCTAGTGAATGAAAGTCAAATGTTTTCAGGAACATAATATTTGGGAAGAAATCCTTAGTCCAAGGGCTCTATCTATCACATCGTTCACAATAACAAAATACTGAATAATGCACCAGAAGGAGTCTGTATATAATTAGGACTCTGCTATCCCTTCGCTTAGTTTTTTTGTGCATATCTCAACATTTCTAAATATATATTCTAGTACCATATACTGTAGCAAACAGATTTAAATACTCATTGCTTGGTGAACATGTAGTAATCTAATGCCTGATATAGTCATTATATTTTGTTAATTATATAAGACTATGTTCTTTATATTGCATTAGCCATGGATATTAGTTCTACCGTCTACCTAATTTTCTTCAACCTGATTCAAAAAGGTGGGATATAACTACTATCTCTAAGAAATATTTATGTGTAAAATAAAGTGGTACAAAGTCATTGGCTTTATGTAGAACCTCATCAGATAACATAAGGAAATGCACACAGAAATATATACCTTAGAACCAATGTTATTTTTCCTCCCATTCCTTTGATGTAACACAAGCAGCGGCTCACTTGCAAACAAGCTATCATTTTCACTTTTTAAAAAATACATAACAACAAAACGTATGTTTGGGGGCTTTGTTTATGACTGTCATTATTACACAATATAAACTGTCATTACGGATGTTCTGTACCAGGAGTGTCTCTTTTATTTTTATTTTTATTTATTTATTTTTGTCTGCTTTTTGTTTCAGTATACATGCTTCAGACAGGTCTAAAGCAACGCTAAAAAGAGAAAAAGACCAAGTGCGTGGCTGTGGTTCTTATCCTCAGTTGGCCACTAGATGGTGACTTCTCCTCTGGAAAAAAAGAAAAAAAAAAAAAATACACAGGGAACCCAGAAAACAAGGCTCTATTTCTGAGGCGTTATCTAAGATGATCTTTAGAAAAGGATGTCTGAATAAGGAAGTAGAAGCTTGTGTGAAGAAACACTTTTTCAACCAAGAAATATTCATTCAAATAGTTGACCATTTGAACCTTATTTCTGAATTAGGACAAGGTCGTTGATTTTCATGTGACTGTTAAAAGGACCCTCTGCCATTTTAGAAAGTTCCACTGGGTGGTGCACATGTGTGTGTAACAAGAAGAGCACACAGAGCTCAGCATAAATCGTTTCAAAATTTAACCCCCAAAATATGACACTAAAGGTGTCACATCCAAATATTCTTGACCTTTTATGCCAGGGTCCCAACTTTCCACCATAGCCCATCCTATATTAGATCTTTCTAACTCTCTGTAGAAGCAAGTTTAACCTGATAATTTCTTTAATCATAATGAACAATAATTACTTAGTACTAATTATTCTCATTTGATGAGGCAGTCTTATTAAAATTAGGACTGTGTGCTGCAATCTATTTTGCATTGCTGATTATAAACAGGATCTCATTGTTCTTGAATCATAATTAAAATAAACTCCTGCTTTTCTAAAGCTTGTGGATATTGAAAATAACCCACAGTCAAGTTTGCTGTGTCATTGAGCATGCCATCGGGAAATAAATTTCAATACTTTAAGAAGAATATAAGGCACCGTCTCCTTGAAATTTTATGTATATAAAACACTCACATCTTCTATCAGAAGTTCTGACTCTGCGTCTGACTTCCCTGGAAACCGGATCTTCATGTCCTTGAGAACAAACAAGGTCTGACTTGTTAGATCATCTTCTTGTTCTTTTGTTTTCAGCTTCCGCAAAGCCTCAGTCTTAAATGGGAAAGAATACAGACATTTGGAGGGGGTCTTATTCATTGTGCCAGTATAATCTGAAAGATACTTCCAGGTAAAAATGATTCACTTTTAACTTAAAAAGTAACAGTGAAAAAGAAAGGGAATTTTTTTGTTTATAAATTCTTAGGATTAAACGGTGATGAATCCTAAGAGTGTTCACACTTCTACGTTAACTGTATTTATTGGGCTCAAAATGCCAAAATGAAAATAAGAGCACTGAAAAAGCACTTCCTGATCAGTTTCATATGTTATATAAACCTTGATTAGAAAAAAACAATCTTGATTAGAAAACAAATCAATCATTGTTGCCAAGTGAAATTCATTCCCTTCTATTTCCTGACTCTTCCCTTTGGAAACGCCATCCACATTAAATAACAAATTTAATAAATTGCTGGTCTGAGTGAAGACAACTAAAAGTAAGCCGGCTTGCAAATAAACTCACTACTTCCTCAATACTGAATCTCTGAGTTTCATGCTAAGGAGGGAACACTGTATATTAATTTAATCTGTAGAACTTGATAACAACACTATAGTTAACTGCTCTAAGGAAAATTTGTCAATCACTTTTGAACCTACTAATCAACTGCACATCAAGTAAAATTTTCCATAAAAAGAATTTCCTCAAATTTACTGACAAACTGTACAATATGCTGTAAAACTGTACCTTTGCTCAGGTGATTTTCAACAATATTATACTACTACATTAGCAAATGGAAAAAAACAATGGTGTTCTTAGTCCCCCATCTTCAAGTCTGGTGATTTTGTGGAGTCAGCCTTTTAAGAGTCCACACTAAATGGTAGCCTAAGATGGAGGAATAACCCAAATTCCAGGAGGCCATGAGTTGAATTCTAGAGAGGTCTGAGGCTCCATTTGTCCTTGCATCTGACTCCCTCTGTCCCCTAGATTCTGAGGACAGTACTTCCTGCAACCATGAAAGAGCAAAGTAGTTGACTTACCTCCTGTAAGCTGGTGGCGCTGATTCCATGACTCGGAGGCACACACCTCATGTAGGAGGAAGCACGGTTTAAAGAATGTGACCGAGATGCTGAAGTTGGCCGGGGTATAGACATCATTTGTTGAGCAGAGAAAGGGCGGATGTCCCTGCCAGAAGGTGACTGAGCAGAGATGGACCGAGGGCAGCTGACTGAGCGCCGTATGGAGCCTACTGGCGATGGAGAAGAGGGTGGGTTATAGTAGGACAGTGTCAGTACAAGTGTCCCACGGTACTGGGTCTGTATAAACTACAGGTTAGACCAGACGGGAGCACAGAGACACAAACATCAAGGCTTGGGCACCATCATGAGAATGGGAATTTAAAGTAAATGTTTCAATTTACACAGTGAACTTGGTACAGAACCCCTGTAACGTATAAAGAAAGGCTCAAGTGGGAATAATACTATTATACAAGTAGTATTTTAATGTTATATTCTCAAACAGTGACATGAAAGAACCAGAAGAAAGGAAAATTAATATTTATGGAGCATCTTCTATAAGCCAGGCATTGTGCTGGGTGCTGTACTTGATCTTATTCTTCCTTGAAACCCTCTGAAGTAGGGACCTCATTTGCCCAGAGATTCAAAAAGGGACTTTCTCAAGGTTGCACTGCAAAAAACGTAGCCAAGCTCAGGTTTCAATCCTGACCTATCTAATTCAAATGCCCTCCCACTTTCTGTAATACTATGATGCCATCCACCATCTCTCAGATTAGACCAGTCACTTATTAGAATCTGTGTCTAGGTTAGAGATGTCCTATCTCCCATCCGGTAAGGGAAGGGAAGGAAAGAAAAGGAGTCCAAAGAGTGCCCAGGCCAAAGAGATAAGTTATGGAATTCAGGGTCCATGAGAAAAGTAATGAAACAAAAGAAAACCTAAAGATTATAAGACTGGTCCTAAACAGGTAGTCTTCTTATTTATAGGAGGAAAGAATTTTAAACTGGATTAAATTTCAATAGTAAAGGATTTAAGTGAAGAAAAAAAACTGTAGACCTATAGGGTTCTTGTCAGAACAAATATCTAGGGAAAACCATAAACTATCTTCCCAATGCACACTAAGAACATTTAAGGAAGAGAACCAATTATCCCAGATAAATTCTGATTCCTAACACAGAGAAACAGATTACCTATCTACAGTCAACATTTTAGTTTTTTAAAACTCATATGTCTATATATCCTTTGTGCTATAGTCTCTCTCAGTTTGGGGAATATATCAATTCTTGTTAATCAAATAATTTAATAAAACTCACATGAAGTCAGGTTGAATACCCAAATATTTCTCTTCATTAGCTGTTAAAGAAAATTCAGACCTTTATAAAGGCACAGATATAAACTTTATATTTAGGGATGTATTTTTTTTAAATAGCCTAATACTTCGGTCATTTAGATTCTGGAGAGTAAGAAGTAGAGTATACATAAAAGGTATAAAGGATGTTTAAAAAAACATTTCTGTCTGTTCCAACTATGAACCTTCTTCTGAAGCTGAAAATCACACCACTTTTTGAAAGGACTCTACTTCTAGAGAAGAGCTATGTGATGACCATTATCACTGGTCAATCTTTTTTTCTTTTTTACAAAGAACTGTATATATATAATGTGTACAAAGCTCAAACTCATATTAAGAAAATACCTAAAAGTATGCACAACTAACTACCCTACAGCCCTGTTCCCTTTGAGGGATGAAGGTTCTGTTACATATAACCTATTAGGGCAAAAAAAAAAAAATTATACTTTTTCTTGAATGATCATAGATTTCCCTTTTTGCTTACACACATTAGAAATTCAGATAGAATAACTAAGTAGCTAAGGCCAGGCGTAGTGGCTCATGTCTGTAATCCCAGCACTCTGGGAGGTCAAGGTGTGTGGATTGCTTGAGATCATGAGTTTGAGGCCAGCCTGAGCTAAAAATCAAGACCCTGTCTCTACTAAAAATAGAAAAACTGAGGTAAGAGGATCACTTGAGCCCAAGAGTTGGAGGTTGCTGTGAGCTATGATGCTACAGCACCTACCCAGGACAACAGCTTAAGATTCTGTCTCAAAAAAATTTAAAAAAAGAAAGAAAGAAAAGAAAAGAAAGAATAACTAAGTAGCTAGACATGCCAATGATGTTTGGATAGATTAACAAAAATATTTGTAACATAAGCTTCAAATTACGTGAAAAAATATTTGCATGGTTTTTATATGACTACCTTATATCAAACCAAAATATACCCCTGTGATGCTATAACAGGTTTGAATTTGCCAAGTTAACTACGTACAAGAGAAAGTGTTATACATGACCTGGATTTTGTCCCCAGTCATCAGCATCACTCTGGGGACAAAACTCAGGGAGGGCCTGTGGCTACGATCTTCCTTTGTTTATGGTTACAGACAAAATATAAAACAAGGTGAAATCCTTGTCATAATTTCTCATGAGTATAAAAAGAAAATATAACCAATAAAGAAAAATATAAGTAATTGAATTAGGCTAGCTTTAACATGAGAAAGCATACTCAAAAATATTTTTAAAACCTGTGTCATAGTCTAGTATTTTATCACCTGCTCTCAATTTATTAACCAATTGATCTGAGAACACAGAGCCATCTCAGAGCTTTAAGAAGCTTAGCACGTTTTGCTATATCCCCTTACATGCTGTGAGGGATGGGCACACTAGCTAATAGGAAAGGGAGCCAAACACTGACAAAATCTGGGCAGAAAAACGTCAGCTTCCAAGACCAAAACAGAGTCATACTTACGGACACACTGAAATTACTTAAGGAATCCATAAGGGAAAAAGGAAGTAATGGATAAAATAGTTTACCAACACTGGGACAGGTGCTTAATAAACATGGTAAATGAGTAAATAAATGAAATGGAATCTAGTGCATTATTTCTTCTCTACATAAACCTTCAAAGACAGGAACAACGGTAGCATGTATCTTTATGAAATAATTTTGGAAACAAAGGAAAGACTGTTCTTGTAAAATCTTCTTCTATTGGTTCTTCAACCCTCAAGCACTTTGCCATAGACATGGCAGGTCAATTTTAAAACACACGCATTATCTGGGACATTAACATATTAAGTCTTGTTGGAGATGGATGAAAAGGAGCTAAGAGAAGTCCTGGCTTGGAGGCAGCATCGGGAAGGGGGTTTCCAAGTGAGCCCAGGAAAATAGCAAGACCACATTGAAAAGCTGAAGATAGAAAACAATCACAGGCACAGACATTTGAGGTTAAAGAAGGAATGAAAGAAAGTAAAAGAGAGAGAGAATGTGCAAATCCATTAAATCTGGAAGGAGAGAGAGAAGCTGGTCGGCTGCTCTCCTTAACACGTCCCTGGCACTAAACCCCCAACTTGGGTGTTCACTGTGATGAAAATGGGGTGGAACAGAACTTCAACTGTCTCGCAGTTACTGTGACTCACAGATACATCCAAGTCAAATGCCCAAAGAGATAGATACATTTTTTAAAAAGAGGTGACAGTAGAAACCATTGTGGGTGACAGGAAGGTAGAGAGGGGGGAATGGAATGAGAGAGGACATTTGATGAAACCCACGCAAAAATCTGGCACTTAACCAAAACTATGATGGATCCTGGATTCAGCCCTTGCATTTTTATTTGCAGAACCTTGAACAGATCGAGGGATGTGCCTGGGTCTGGTTTGGAAGGAAGTGAGACAGAATCCAGGTCTCCTCACACACAACAAGGGTTCATTTGGCCCAAGGACTTTTATTGAGATGAACAAGTTCGGCTCCTTACTGCTTTATATCACATCCAAATGAGAGGAAGGTGACTTACTGGGCTGCTGGATGAACTTGTAGTGGTTGGACTGCTTCAGAGCGTAGGCGACCTCCTTGTCTCTCTTCCTACTGTCGTACTCCTTTTCGTTCCTGTCAGACTCTGAGGAGGAGCTGCCGCTGTCGTAGCTGCTGTCACTGCTGTCGTACTTCTGTCTTCTCATGACCTCGGTGCTCTCCGGCATGGAACACAGAGGCTGACACGAGGCAAACAGGAGATTTGGTTAGAAGTCGAAAAAAAGGAGGCTGATTAGCGTGATGACTATTTTAAATTTCTCCCCGTGTTGACCACTTTGCACCGAAGGCTGAGAATCCCCCAAGGTACAAACGACTGCTGCTGTCTGCTCAGCCCCCAGGGCTACTCCCTCACTGTTCTGCCTCTGCAGGGCACTCTTCCCTACGTGACACAGCTCCACTGTGACGAGGAAAGAGTGTGTCTATATGATTGGAATAAAGGGCCAGAGTATCCATCAACAAACAGTAATGAAATGAAGAGAAAATCTTTGGGATAAAAATATGAAAATCAGAAACATAATGAGGTTGTGTGTATTCCACACAGATTACTCAATGTGTGTGTGTGCATGTGTGTGTGCACATGTGTGTGCGTGGGTGCACATGTGGGCATGTGTGTGTGCACGTGTGTGCGTGTGTGTGTGTGTTCTGGGGAAAGAGGAAGGCAAGACAAGAGGGACAAAGAGAATAAAGCGGTATCAGCCAGAGAAGCCACTTTACATAAGGCCGCATCTTACAACAAAGCCCTGGCGCCTACCCACTCAGACGATGGCAGCAGGAGGTTAGGTGCTCTTCACATGGCTAAACTGGAGGTGAATATTTAAAAAAATTAAAAATTCTAGTTAATTATTCCGTTTCCAAATTGATCAGGAACAAGTCAGATCGTTTCTCAGAGCGTGCCTAACACACAGGTGCTGGCCGTAATAGAGTAACACGGCTTTGGCTGTGCTACATTTTTAAAGAACGGTGTAATGTGAAAATTAGTATGGCATAAAGAGTTGAGAGGAGAGATGCCACATTGAAGGGCAAATCTGTGAAGATTCAAAATGCCAAGCTATCATGTCCTGGGAGCTCTGTTAGAATCACCTGTTTCCAGGCTTCCCAAGCAATGTGCTCCCAGCGATGCCAGGTGGGAAGAGAAGGGAAGTGGGACAGCCTCGCTTCAGAAAGACGGCACCTAACTGAGAACGCGGCGGCTCTGCCACTCAGACGCTTGAAGAGACTATCTGTTGCACACACGCCATACGCCTCCTACCCTGCTGGGAGAGGTTCCTGCAGCGGCATCCTAGCTGCTTGTTCTCCGCTAAATCAAACAGAAATGTTTTGATGTTAGCATACCCTGTTACGGAGTCCTCGGCTAGCAAGGGGATTCACTGGAAAGGAAGGTACATCCTCTAGTGTGACAGTGTAGGATGAAAGGTAAAGAGAGAAGCAGCATCGCGTGAGGTGCCTGGAGTGCGCAGGAAACCAAAGAATGATTTTCCTACATTCACAGCCTTTGCAGAGGGTGAAAAATCACCAAAGCAGGAAAGTAGTTTTTAATACACTAAGGTATCAACTTGTGTTTAAAGATATGTTCTGCTTTTGATGGTCTAATATTTACTGAGCTCTAACAACGTTCAAAGAGATCTGCATAAAAACATTTACCAGTAACACAGTCATCAAACACTTTGACAGTTCTGGGGAATATGAATTCCAGAGAAAGGATGTTTCTTCAGAAGTGGAGCATAGCCAGAAGGAGCCCGGGGCAGGAGCAGGCTGCCGGGAGTGCCTTTCCTCACAGAGCAGACAGCTGTGAGATTTCCTAAGGAGCTTGACTACAAAACAAGTCATGCGACTCTATGAAGACTCAGAAGGAGAAAGGGACGGCTGAACCTTGTGTCACCTATGTGTTTGGGACTTCCTGACCAATACACTGTTCAAGGAATATTTATTTATTTATTTATTCTTGAGACAGTTTCACTTTGTTGCCCTAAGTAGAGTGCTGTGATGTCCCAGCTCACAGCAACCTTAGACTCTTGGGCTTAAGCAATTCTCTTGCCTCAGCCTCCCAAACGTCTGGGACTACAGGTGCCCACCACAATGCCCGGCTAGTTTTTTTTTTTTTTTGAGATGGGGGGTCTCACTCTGACTCAGGCTGGTCTTGAACTGGTGAGCCCAGGTGATCCGCCCACCTTGGCCTCCCAGAGTACAAGGTAGGATTACAAGCATGAGCCACCACCGCGCCCAGCCCTCAAGCAATGATTAATTAGAAGCCACAGCACTATAAACTCTAAATAGTGCCTTAACTGCAAATGGAATTTGTATTTAAATTTGCAATCTGTACTTACAAACAGAATTTGTAAACTGGCACTGAGTTACAACATAACATACTACTTATTTTTATATCCAATTTTATTATGAAATGGGCCATATGTAAAATATGTATAAATAAATAATGTATAAAGAATAATAAAACAAATATACACATAACTACCACCAAGCTTAAGAAAAGCAACATTGCTTATATTTTATGTGGCATTTATTATTTATGTAGTTAATTAATATTTCTTAGATTCCAAATAAGTGCAAAGTTATTATGTCTCCAAGTATGAGTTTTATTTACCCTTGATTGTTTCCAATTATTCTTCTACCAGTAAAAACCCTGCCAGGGGTGTCCAACCTGCAGATCCAAGCCATGTGGCTTGCTGGAGGCCAATTTTGCTTATCTGTAGGGTCGGATGGCATCACCATTGTACGTGGACTTTTTTTTTTTTTGCTCATCAGCTTTCATTAGAGTTTGTGTATTTAACATGTGGCCCAAGACAACTCTTCTTCCAATGTGTGGCAGAGAAAAAAAACAGGTTGAACACCCTGGATTATTATCATCCCTCTAAAAGGAAAGAGCTGCTTTGAAGTTTAGCTCACTTTAGACCCTTAGTAAAGATAAAAGCTATAAAGTATTTCGACTTCAGCCTGATTCTGCACATTGAAATACTGCTTGGCTTTAACAAGCTCACTACCAAGGAACTACCAAGCTCACTTCATTTCAACAAATATAATGTTAGTTCCTACTACCTGCTTAGAACAAGGGAACTGGAACAAACCCACAGTGTGAATTCTGGCCTCCAGCGGTTATAGTTTTGCTGGATGCCAAGGCTTATAGAAATGAAATAAAAGAAACTATTCGACAACATACAACTGTCTGGGTGTTTGCTTCTGCCATTCTATCAGGAACACCGTGCCCCAAGGTCATCTCCTGTCTGGTTTGCTGAATTATAATAATTAATATACAAAGTTTAGACGTTCTCAGTGCTTCCTGAAGTGATGCCGTGACTCAGAGAAGTACTCACTTTGATGTGTGTTTTAAAATATATTTCTTCCAAAGGAATTATCAACTACATGTTCTGCAATGCCTCAGTACAGATCACATAATTCAGAGCAAGGTCTGACATTGAAGATTTCCACCAGCTTAGGTATCTATCACCAACGCTCATCCTGCCTTTCACTGTCCAAGAACCTTCCACTGAGTCACACAAAACATTTCATCACTTCCAGGCCATTGCCTTTAGTATTTCCTCTACCTTGAACGTCTTTCCACCCCTCTTAAACACTTAGAGTGGCTCTCATGTGTCAAGGTCTGGTGCAGAGGAGCTGCCTCCCTGAAGCCTTTCCACATTTTACCAAGTCCGTCCTTCTCCACTCTGCGGCATTCCCCTTACTGGAGTCCTTGCCATGCTGTACCCTGGTGTTTTGTCTACTCTTCTCCTTTTCCAATAGCCAGTGAGGTTCCGTGGACATATTTAATAAATTTAACTAATGGAGAAATGACTATGTGCCAGACACCATGCTACGTGCTAGAGATACAAAGATGAAGTCTACTTGTTACAGTAAAGGAACTTACAAGCTCATACTAAGGCAAACATACAAATAATTATTTGTCACAACTGCTTTATAAAAATGCCATTTATGGTACAGCAGGCGAAGGAGGGGAGGAAATATCTAAGCCTAACCAGAGGAATGAGGGAAGGTTTCCTGAAGGCAGCAACAGTTCAGCTGGATTTATTCAGAAGGGCTCTCTAATCAAGCAGCAAATCAATGATTTTTTTTTTTAGTAGGAAGGCATTTGAGAGGTATAGAAAAGCATGAAACCAGGACACAATTTGTCTATGGACATGTAATAATGCTGAACTATAAAGTAAAAGAAATTGAATGGAAAAAAAGATTTTTAAGTTTCAACTCTTTCCTACTCTCCTAGAGAGGACTTTGGCATGTATCTAAAGATCTCAGGGATGTCACCAACACGTAGCCGGGCAGGTGAAGCAAACCCTGGCCCATTTTACTGCCTGGAAGCTTTCTCTTGATTCCTAGGAACTGTGCCTATTTTAACTAACGCACTCTCCATGTGGTTAGTGTGGGCTGACCACCACGGGTCCCTAGAGCCATGGTTTGCATTGCTCTGATTCTTATTTGTCTAGAGTATGTGGAAAACACTAGTTTAGAATAAGGGTACTAGTTCTAGATCCCTCTTAACCCCGATTATAGGGTTTTCACGAGCATTAGGGAAAGAACCAAAATATAAAAGACACTAACAAAAACCCCTAACGTCTCCTAAGCATTGGATAATATCAGCTTCCCAACCCTACCTCCGCTGGTACCTACCGTTCCCTGAAAGCAGCACCAGTCATTCTTAGAACAGATTCCCAGGGGAAATGATAACTGTACTTTTTAGCATCTACTTTGATACTAAGGAAGGTAGAAACACGGTACCTTTGGTCCTCGGATTTTGGTAGTTTTTCCTGTCAGCTTTTCGTCATCAATTTCACATTGTTCTAGAAGATCCAAAATATCTTCCTCCTTCAGAAAATATTTTAATTAAAATTATGATCATTAACTGACTCTAGAATTTTTCCAAGTTCATTAATCTCCACCAAATAATGTATAACAAAAATTCCTGGAACTATTTACTGAAGATTACTCAGTCCAAAGTAAGAAAGAAAGGGTCATGGCAAACTCTCCTGAAGAAACTTTCTCTAAAATCTGGCAACTTCAATAATACATAGCTAGAATTTATTGTGTATTAATTATCAGAAAAAAATAGATCCTTGCACTCCCGTACACTATTAAATTATGGAAGTACAATATTTCAATAAATTAGCCCTTTGTGAACTTTACATTTCTGGAAGTTCACTCTAATGTTCCAGACTACAAGTTCATCAATCATTTCTATTCTGATTGGTGCATAACAATATTGAAACTCCAGACAGAAAACTGATGATTAGCCTGATAGTTTTATTTGGAAACAATCTCATGTTAGTTTTTGCTGAACAGGCACTACACAGTAAAACTTTTTCAAAACCTTAATGATGGAAAAAGAGTATTTCTAGAGCTTTGTAAAGATGTTCATCCTATAGTGAATAATGGTGGCACAATCCCCATGGGCCCTAACACCTCAATCTAGAGTCATTCTGAAGTCAAAAAGAGAAAAGTTGTAAAAACAGAGACCCCAGTGGACATTGAGCAAACCAGAACAACAGGGGTATAACAGCTGTACTGACAGAGCGCTATAATCAGCTGCTGCACTGACAGATTTCTTTAACACATAAAAAAATATGTTTCTGCATATTTATGATTTACTTCATAATGTCCCTTTTAAAAAAGATTGATTGATTGATTGATATACTTCAGTGTCCCTTTAAAAAAAGATTTTTGAAGAAACTGGAAATCTCATTGTGTAACAGACATTTATAAGTCACTCTTTATCCCAATCTAAGGAAGTTATTAAAATACCCGAAGTCTCATATTATGAAGTTTTGATCAAATAATAATTCTATAATGAATTCCATGGATAGTCACACAAAATAGTTAAGAAGAAACTCAAGGACTTCTTGAGATCATAATGGACAATGTTTTCATCACAGCAGCTAGAAAGAGCCAGATAGGCTAAACGCTCAGATTTTTCAAAACTTTCGAAAGTTTTGATAGGTAAGTTATTATCTACAGCTATAGATAAAAAGTAATGCAAAGAAACTAAATTCCAGAGAGTGACAAGGTCAACCCAGATGAGAAGAGATGAGTGTTCACTTTCTATTTTGAGGTCATTTGTCAGTTTTGGACATAGGTGAGCAGAAATCAGCTCTGTAATAGAGAGATTCTGCTAGGATAAAGAGAATCTTCTTGAAATGCTCCCTTTTGAAACTCTGGGCCACTCTCTTAATAGATCTGGCTGCCCTGCTGATAGACCGCAAAGGGAGGAAGAGCCACCCAGCCACTTTCCAGACATCCCACTTATCTGCCACAACAGATGAGCGAGGGAAGCCACCTTGAATTTCTAGACCCAGCTGAGCTTTCTGGAGCTAAGAAATAAATTAAAAATAATAATAATAAAGCATAATAAATACACAATAGTAAGCATAATAAATAAACGCTACTGTGTGATTCACTTTAGGCAAGATCAGCAGAAAAATCGCTCAGCTGTGCTCACCCAAGATTGAAGAGTAATGAGCAAATAAATGAAGTGGTTTCTTACGCTGCAGTCGAAAACGCATAGACCTCGTATTGAGGTAAACAGATTCGAACGTGTTTGTGTATCTGTGTGTTTCATTTACCTCCTCTTATATGCTAGGTCTACGTAGTATCAAGAAAAAAATGCTGTATCATGTGAGTCATAATCCAAATAATGAGAACAGAAAGTCACAAACCACTAGTCAATGAACGGATTTCTTTATTGCAGGTACACATCTATGTAATAAGGCATGTCTTTACAACACAGTGATATTACAACACATACCAAAAATCTCTACTCCATAATTTCGCCTGTCACACTTCTTATTTACAAATCACTTGGTTCATTATGAAATGTTACCGACCATAAAATGAAGAGCCTGTGGAAAATGCATCTCAACGTGTCTTCATATGTAGGGCCAAGGTGGGTCGTTTTCAAAGACATACTGTTTGGATTTATTCTTTTTTTCTATCTGCTTTTTCTCTTACCTTCATCTTTTTCAAAGGATTATTCAGCTCCCGCTGGAAGGAAGCTGCTCTTCCTGAAAGGAAGGTCTGAAAGGCAACAGCCAACAAGTTCTCGTACTTTTCAAGCAGTGTTTTATCTTCAGGAGGATAAATTCGTCTACAATAAAATTAGACAAACCAATGTGTTTAAAAGAAGCTATCACAGCTCAGTTGTTAAGATGAACTGCATAGATAATCCTTGGCTTTCTACTCTGTGCCACTCATATTTCCAGTGCTAGAAATAAAGATTAATACACTGATGAGAAATTCATAAATTCTACTCACACCGAGTAAAGTAGATCTAGGGAATTATCATTAAATGAAACAGTTTCAGAGGGTATAGTATAAGGATTCGGTTTGGGGGGAGTGGTTGGAGAAGAATGGCAATCGGACAAATTGGAGAAAGGGTGAACTCAACGGGACAACACTGGGTGATGAGGGATACTGTGGAAGTTCCTGACTCAGTGTGGTTATGTCATATACAAGAGTGACAGGCATTTGTCCTGACGGTCTCTGTTGTGCTGATGGAATTTTTCTCTCCAGTGGGAGAATCAGGTGGAGGTAAGGTGGGAGAAATGTGAGTGTCACAGCTACTGATGGTGTGAAGGCCGGGGCGAACATCTTCCCACAGGTCCAGCAGACGCTGCCCTCACGTGCTCCTCAGTCCTGCAGGGGCAAGTCAAAACTTGGAAGGAGGGGCAGCTTTCCCAGAAAATGAGGAGCTTAGAGGTCCCGTCTGGATCCCACCAGGGCTGATGCTGCGGCAGGGTTTCTGTTCAGCACAGTCCACACCCCTCTCTGCTGTCTCCTACTTGGCCCCCTCAAACACCGACACTGTTTCCCTAGTTCCTGAAGCCTTTGAGTTTTAACAGAAAGGACAGCAAGCACTATGAATTAGCAGGAAGGATACTAGCAGACCTGAGTCCTGACTTCCCCAAAATACCACATTACAACTGAATTACAACTAAACCCTAAACAGGATAACAGCAGATTCAAAAGCCTCCTCTGACCACCCAGAGCTGGCTTGCCAGGGCTCTGTCAAGCCGCACCACCTACTTGCTGACTCCTCTTCTTCAAAAATATTATGAAAAAGGCATTTCCTCTGAAAGAAAGAACCGCGCTTAAAATAAACCTAAATGTTGCAAAAAGTCAGAGAATGATTGATTTGGCATGTCCCTTTTTAATCAATACAAAGTGGCAGGACAGTTACCTGTAATTCCCCATATGTCGATTTTCATGCTCTTCTCGCGAGATCTGCTTTCGCACTTGAGCAAGTCTCACTTTCTAGAAATAAAGAGATCGTACAGATAAAACCTGACACAGGGATCATACAGTTCAGAAGGCAGGGGAGGTTGCTAAAAGTTTCATACCAACTCTTCTTTCCGCTTCTCCAGCTGGTGCCTCTGCTGCTCCCAGTCTGAGGAGCCTGGTAAGGGCCTTTTGACTGAATTTTGACCATAGAGCCTTCTTTGAGCCTCAGCTTTTTGTTTGGCCAAGTTTCTCCTTTTATCACTGGTCCTAAAATATTAAACACAAGATCGTATGCTGAAATTGAAGAAAGTTCTGATCTGATTCCAGTGAGGAGCGTTTGCAGAAGAGGAGACGGAATGGAGGCAGAAATCAATGTTTACCAAATTTACATATTCACATACACGGTTGTCATCGAACCACCCCTCAAACGTGGGTCTCCCTACGGCAAATAGATGTTCTGAAGATTACAAGAAAAATGGAAACAGTGTAGGTTTTAAAGAGTCAGAAAGTACCAGTTCCACATCCCCGTGAGCACCCTAACTAGCTATAATTAGACTGTGGTCAACCAGCTGCTGAATTTGTTTCCACCTTCTAATTGGTAACAATATTTCCCTTCTAGAATTCTTTTCAAGATTAATTTGTGGTAACATTAATAGGTAGTTAAGAAATGTTGGTTTGCTTCCTCTTCAACAGATTCCATTTATATTTCAACACTCCTAGTTATGCTGACCCTTCCTGAATACATTTTTATCCCTGAAATCCCAGCCTACCCATCATCATCTATTCAAAGACATCTGCATTGTACTTCTCATTTTTTGCCCAATCATAAAAATTGAGTTCTGACTCTCTGCATTGTAAGGACAAGTCCTGTTGGGGGATGATTTTCTTCGGAAGGCCTTTCTCCCTCCTCCCAGCCAGACTGCTGCAGGTAGTAGTCTGAGGGCTTTTCTCCCCAACCTCCCCAACTTGCACTCTATGGACCACCCCCGAATGACAGAGCAGAAACAGGGCGGACTCTTGACAGGCCCTCCCAAAAGGAAAACCAAAACCAATTCTGCCTGCACCCTTGGGAAGAACAGGTTCTTATCCCTGAGCTTACATCTGCACGCCTTCTACCTCTGCGCCCTGGAAGGGCCCAGATAGGAGACTGAACTAAAGGAAAGGGACAAGAAGGCTACTCAGCCAGCTTCTAGAGGGGAGAGGTAAAAGAAGTACTTAGGCTTGCGAACCACCCTACTCCATTCATCAGGAGATTGCTTGAGACCATGGGCCAAGGCTCCGGACAACAGTGTCCTTCTGTCTCAAGTATAAAGTGCCTTCACAATGGAACTGGCAGGAACGCTACAAAACTGATCCATTCTCTCTCATGACAAAACTGAGGCTGGAGTGTCACGAGTTTAACAGGGGGTCAGGGGAGGAGAAAAGGAAATAAACACAACCAGAAAACTGCAAGTCATTCAGGACAGCTAGAGCTACGGGTGAACGCAAGAAACGCAGCTTATCGTGGCCTGAATACCATGTTATTGAGCCTCAAATTTAACTTTAAACAATGAAAGGAGGCATGAATTTTTAAAAAAGAGGTGGGCCTAATTATATTTTCATTGTTAAAAATTATGCATATGTTCAGGATTATGCCCTGGTGGTGAGTACGGCGGCTTAAAAGTGGATAAGAAATAAAGGAAGAAGTTAAGATAAAATGCCATTTCATTAGCAAATATAAAATAGGAAGGCCTGGACCAGGGAAACATCTGAGGGATTAGAGGGAAAAGGTGAGTTTAGAAGACCATTTTGGTGTAAAAATGGATACGCTCTGATAACTTGTTCAATGAGAGGAATGCCACCAAGATTCCCGATGTTAGTGACTCTGCTGACGCTTCATAGACTAATACAAATTAGGCTCTGAGTAGCCCCAGAGCAAAGGAATATCATGGTTCAGATGGCTCCCAGCTGTTTCATGTTTTTTTATGTCCATTTTATCTAGAATGATCATTTCTACAGAGCACTCATTTTAACAGAAAAAGAGGAGAGAAAAAGGAAATAGAAATGAGAAGAATAGAGAGAAACAAAGACCAAACAATCAACAAGGGGGAAAGTAAGGAAGCCAAAAAAGGAAACAAAGGAAAAAAGAGGAAGGGAAAATAACAGAGGACCGAGGTGCGTGCGTATTCTGTGAAAGAAAAAAGCACCTGTCTCCGCGCTCGTCCCCCGCAAAGGAGACACGCACAGGGGAGGATGCCCACCGACACCCCGCAGCCCAGACACACTCCAGGCACAGCACAGCCAGCGCCCAGCTGCGCCTTCAGACATACAGCGCCTTATGTCGTGCCGACCCCCAACCATAAAATTATTTTCATTGCTACTTCATAACTGTAATTTCACTACTGTTATGAATCGTAATGTAAATATCCGATACGCAGGATGTATTGAGGCGACCCTTGTGAAAGGGTCATTCAACCCCCAAAGGGGTCCAACCCGCAGATTGAGAACCCCTGAACTAGAGGAAAGGGAAATGGGGTTAGTGTTTAAAGGGGATAGAATTTCAGCTTAAAGGATGGAAAGAGCTCTAGAGATCCATGGTGGTGATAGCTGCATAACAATGTGAGTATACGTGATGCCTCTGCCCTTTAAATAACTCAAAAATGGTTAAAATAGTTGGGTGGTGCCTGTGGCTCAAAGAAGGAGGGTGCTGGCCCCATATGCCAGAGGTGGTGGGTTCAAACCCAGCCCCAGCCAAAAATTGCAAAAAAAAAAATAATAATAATAATAATAATAAAAGAGATATCTTTTTAAAAAAATGGTTAAAATAGTAAACCTTATGATAGCGTATTTTTACCTCTTCTGGGAAAAAATGAGTTGACATTCACCAAAGAGGCCAAGGTGGGTGACCATGTAAATGCGAGCGAGTGTGAAGGCATGAACAGGTGAGGCGGCTCTACAAAAAGGGCGCTTGGAAAAATCAACTCAAGGCAGAGAAAAAGAAAAGAAGGGATCAGGCTGGAGAAATATGCAAGGACCAGATTAAAAAGAGTCTTGTGTATAATCGAAAGATCAAAAAATGCTTTGTGTGTAATGCAAAAGAGTTTAAATTTTATCTGACAGCGTGGACACAATCTGCTCGGCATATTGGACTATAAAAATCTCTCTTCAAATGCTGGCATCCCTCTGGGCTCTGTCCTGGCCCCTCTTTTCAAAAGATGCACCAGTGTGTGATCTCATCCATCAGATTCAGCGGCAACATGCCTGTCAGTTAAATAGATACCTCTATCTCCTGGGGCCCCATATATCAAATTTTCCATTTATCTCAAAGCACCTTAAAATTAGTGTGTTTAAAATTGAATCACCTCTTTTTTTTTGAGTGTGCATTTTTTTTGTAATTTCAGATTAACATAAGGGTACATATGATTAGGTTACATGATTTGCATTTGTTAGGTAAAATCCAAGGTTTGCTTTTTTGTTTGTTTATTTTTTGTTGGAAAAATCTATTACCACCCAACCTCCACTGTAGTCAGAAGCCCTGAGAACTCCTTTTTTAATTAGCATGTTAGGAATATATCCCCGCCCACACAGGAATGAGAAGCAGACATTTCCATGTGCATCTCTCTGCCTACCTTTCCCCCTCACTCACATCGCTAAGCCTCTCTCCCGCTCCTATAATCTTTCTCTCATACCACAGCATCTTATCAAACAAATCTTCCAAGCCAGAAGCCCAGGAATCACAGGAGGTTTTGTGTTCCCAGTAATGACTGCAGTGTTAGTGGCACTCGGTAAATACTGGAGAGTGATTCACGGAGCTGCTGAGTGGAAGCTGCAATGTGGGGTGCAGATGAGTGCTGGAGGCAGGAAGGAAACCCCCAAAATAGTCCAGGAGAGACAAGTTGTTCAACTTGGAAAGGAAACTTAGAAACGGATCCTCAGAAGTTTGAGAAGATTTAGCTGATTGGTAATAAAAAAAGGAAGTTAAGGACAACTCCTAGTATTCTAGCCTGGACTTTCACGTGAGTGGTTGTGTCACTGACCATCAAAGCAAAGAAAGAGAGAAAACTAGGTTTGTGTGATTATCGCTGTATCGTACTGTGAGTATACACGTGTGTGTTTCCCTTTCAGTAACTAACTACTTAAGGAGAGGACATTTCATTTATTTTTGTAGCTCCTGATTGTTTCTCTAAAGTGCTAGAAAACACATTAAAGTCCCTTTAAAAGTGTCCAGAAAATACATATGAATTATTAGATTTACACTTTGTGAGTGGGAGATATTTGCTAACGTTAGCAGAGAAAAGGTGAGAAACCCAGCAACATGATTGAAGGAAAAAATAATTCCCCTTCAGTCACACTGAAATTAAAGTGTCATCAGGACTGCCATCCATTCCTCCAGTCGCTCCCTTGCTGCCTCTCTCACTGTGTGTCTATCGCACACTGAGCAGCCCTCAAGTGTCCAGCACCCACGGTCCCCAGAGAGCTGCCAATGCAGGAATCAAATTCCAGGGAGGGCCCCCGTTACATCTCGCTCCACTCATGGGTAGGTTAGGGACTCCAGGAGCAGACTTGCAAATGATGCCACGAAAGCGAATGAGATTGACACAGACGGAAAGAGAGCTGAGGCCAGAACACAATAAAATAAATGACAAGGAAGAACTGAAAGTGAGAGAAACGATAAGAGAAGACAGAAATGCTCAAAGTTAAGTGAGCAGTGACCCTGAGACCAGGGTCAGACAAGGTCAGCGAGGACAGATGCTCAGGGCAGGGGAGCAGGCAATGCTGCAAGCCTGGAGCTCCTGAATCAGCTCCAAAGAAGGGAAAGGTAATTTAATTTAATCTAATCTAATTAAAAAGTATTTCAGACCCCGGGACTCATGGGACTGTGAATGACTTTTCTAGATTCTATTTTAATGATTGTAATAGAATACTTACAGAAGAAAAAGATTCTTCTTATCAACCCATGAATGCCACCACAATGTAATTGGATTTTCCTTTTATTACAGGGAAAAAAGAACCATTACTTTTTCTACATACAGCCCCTTTCATGCTCTCTTGTCTCTAAAGACCCCAAGCCTAATGTCTCAAAGAATTACTTGAATTTGAACCCAAATTGCATTCTGCCGTCCAAGCGCAAATGGATCAATTCCAATCCCTCTAGAACGTGAGGTTCTGTATTCACAGCAGAAGTGATGAAACATTCTGAGTAATCTATAACATTCTTCCAGATTTCCTGGAGACTAAAAGCACATGTTTACAAAATGAACTCTGGGGCATACATGGAGCCATACTATAAAGAAAGCACTGTGCTAAGAATTGTGAAGAATATAAAAATATAAACTCTTCAACTTCAAGGAGCTTAAATCAAATTGAAAAGAAAAATCAGCCCTGCCCAGATAGCACAAACAGCACAGAAGGTAACAGAGCGAACACAGTGATGAGCCATGTGCCACGCAGACCACAGGCCCTTCTAGAGCTCAAAGAAAGGAAAGATTAATTTGGACCTAAAGGAATAGTTCGTAATAAAAGATGGGATTTGAGTCACAGGCAGTAAAGAAAGACATTCAGGGTAGGGGATAGAATAAGTCATCACAGTGAAAGAGCAAGCTATGTGGGAAAAACAAGGAGATAATCACCCTAACCAAAGCAGCTGGGTCAGAGAGAAACAGGCAGGAAGATGGACGCTCTCAGGGTAAGTTATTTATACACATTATGAAAGAAGCCTGGGCTGAGTGTTGGGAACAGAAACCTACTCAGTCTCTTGAGCAGAAAGATAACTTAATGAAAAAAAATATCATTACAACAGTCTGATTAAAATAAACACAAATAGGGGGTTTATGAAATCACAGAATAATTGGTTCTTTTTAAAATTAAAAGTAAGTCCAGGTGAAAATTAATCCTGTTATATATTTAATAAAAAGGCAAGGATTTTCCGAGTGTTGCTAGTTCCTGCTTATGTTCCCAAGACGTGCCCATCACAGGTCCAGCTGAAATCCAGTCTAACACAGGGGTTTCTTCTAGAACTCTCCATCCAGCTGGAGAGGAAAGGCACGGCTCCAGCATAAATCTCATTAGCACACATTCTAAATTTTAAAATACATGCTAAATGCTCTGTGGAACAGCCCTAAGAAAGACGGATTCCAACTTTCCTTTAGCTTTAGGTATAGAAATTTCTGATGGCTGAGCTGTACCTAACTCATTTTTAAAAAGACCAAAACACCATGTCCTGAATTGGTACCAACACTGGCGAAGCAAAAAGTCACGCTAAAACCCAAACCAAAACAGAACAAAACCAGGCACAGGCTTACATTAAACAATAATAGTAAACTTGTGTACACAAATAGGCCTGTTGCTTAAATAATCTAAAATACCCAATGCACTTGTATAAGGTAAACAAAAAAATCCGCATTCTGTATCTCATTCTACTCATTTCTTTTAGGATAATTGAAATATAAGTAGAATTTACATATGCCAATCTTCCATCAGGCAAAAGAAGCCATATGAAAGTTTCTCAACAGGTTTACACACCTATCTCTTTTAAAATTGTGCTGCCCACATAAAGCTACTTCTTACTTAGGCACCTGCTAAACGCTTGGAAACTTCTTAAATTTAAAAAGTGCTTGGAAGCATCCCATAACTTTCCCAGAGTGCTTAAAGGGCAAATAGAGTAAATTGAAATCACAGAATCTCTGAGCTTAAATGACCTGCATTCCTTTAATCCAACATGCTCAGCTCTTTTGAGCACTGACGACAGAGAATTTACTATTTCATGAAGCGGTTCAGTTAAAGGACTAATGACTTTCTTTTATAATGAGGCAAAAGCTTTTCTCACATGATATCATTTCGGATATTGGAAATCTATGATCATGCACACTGCAACCAGCCCTGCACCCACACCAACCACATCATTTCTCAAATTTTACTTGCCTTCTGCCTCTGCCTATACTTTGAACAGAAAGTTACCCTCCGTGAATAACTGTCTCTTTTTTTTTTTTATGCAAGCAGCAGGATATAGTGGGAAGACACACCCCTGGACAGAAAGGTAGGAAAGTAATTGAAACTGTTTATTTTCCTGAAAGACTTCTCTGACTAAATAATTCTCATACCAACACTGTCATTTAACCATATTTACAGTAGGTCCAAAGTATTATCTGGGAAGCAGGAAAAGCAGTGTGTGGGAGGAGGGGAAAAGGTATTTAAAAAAAAAAAAAACAACGGGGGTTTAAAGGACAATCAAGAAATTAAAAACGAAGAACGCAAACATACAAAAGATTACAAGCCAATTTCATGTACAAACAATTCATCTATACTAAATACGGAGGGAAAAATTCCACACTACAGGTTAGAAACTGTACCTGATGTTCAGCAGCTTCAGCGCATTGAGCAGCACTCCCCTTTTGACGTCATAGTCTATTTTCTGATCAGTTCCAAAGCTTGGGGCTCGATTAATCTGGAATTTACGAAGAAAGTGATGTGAGCAGCCACATGTTGGAAGGTCAACAAATACTCAGCATTTGTTAATCCAATGTGAGATCTTCAGCCAACAGGCCTTCACAAGGAATCTCAAAGGTTTGCATGGTGGTTGGCCCAGTTACCACTGCCCACCTCCGTTCCCCAGGCCCCTAGGTCAGGGAATGACAAGAGCTGGCTGTTGGCACCACGTCCTTCCTGCCGCTGACTCGGTTCAGGGTCTTCCGTCCTCACTCTTCTCTACTCTCCCCAACTCACTGCCCCATGCACACTAGGTTTTAAGTTTAAGAAGGTTAAAAGTGACTCATCTGGACAAAAAGGTCAGTTCATAATCATGTAACCAATATAGTAATAATTAATTATATGTGTATATTTAAGATATAGATATTATCAGTGTCCTCTGTCGACTGTTTCAGATCTTTCTGATGAGTACATCTATGGCTGCCTAAAAAAATGAAGTTTGTTTTTTCCACCTGGCTCAAACAATAACTCATCAATTTTCATTTCAAAAGAAACTGACTGTATTGCTCAGAAGACACCACTAAGGGTAGCTGAAGACTAACCTCCATGAGCTTTTCTAACTGGGGGAAGACTAGTGGGAATAATAAGCCATTCGTGACTATCCTACTTTCCAACGCCATTTCCAGGAATTCATTATGATGAAAAGTAAGAAATAATTTTACATATACTCTGAAATCCATTATAAAATATCCTACCAGTCCAAGAGCTGGGTTTTTTGTTTTTGTCTTTGTTGTTGTTGGGGTGTGTTGTTCTTACTAAAATGTAGCAGATGTTTAAGATAATTACTCCATTAAATCAGTTGGTTAGAACATGGATGAGACAAAAACTATAACTTAGCTTCTTGACCAGCCAATAACCCCTAAGGCTATCTCTAAAAACACGTGTGCTACTAGTCCTAGCTACTAGTTCTAGTCCTAGTCCTCACCACAAGAGGTAAAGAAAGTGATAGCACACATTCTACAACTAACACATGAGGAAATAACATGTTAGACTCTAGAAACCATCCAGGAATCCGTCACTAACTAGAACTGTGTCATAAACTCACTGCACAGAAATCAGTAAAAAGAAGCAAAACAAACAATAAAAGATTACACGTAATCCCACTACTCCAGTGCACTGCTAACCATTTGTGAGATAGTTTCCAGGTATTTTCTATGCGTACATATACAATGCATGTCTACGCTAACCATACTTTAATTTTATAATCCAAGTCTTTCTCTGAACCAAGTTCCATGGAACTCTTCCATCATGCCACCATTCCGATGGGCACCTGGTCCTCCTCCCATAGGGATACGTCATGTCATGTTGCATTTTGGTTTCTTTGTTATTTCTGATTTAAAAGGTGATGCACATATTCCTGTCTTTCTAATGCAATCTCAAGGAGAAGGAGAAATAGCTTGAAAATTGCAAGAAAATGCATTTATTCTAGGTCAATTTGAGAAAGAGAGTTTTCTTCAAAGCTCTAAGCATTTCCCTTACAAGTGCAGAGAAAGTGTAAAGTAATATGAAAACATGTGACCATACTGATTCAAATCTCTGGAATTTGTGATAGATAGTTTTGCTAGTAGATGCGACAAGATTTCTAATAAGCCAGACATTTATGAACTGATGATTAAGCAGTTCATTGGAATGTAATCTATCTTTAGAGAATGCCTTAGGGTTCCATTCCAAATTGTGGTCTGGAATTCTGCCAGGTATATCCCACAGAGCCCTCCCCCGGGATGGTACTAGTACTTAGTACAAAACAACCTCCCATCTCTCCTTACCTACTTCAAATTCTTCATCTACTATAAAAGAATTTGATCTATGGTGAAATGTACCTACGCAAGATAAAGGAGTGTGGAGAAAGGCAGAAAATCTTTTGTTCAGTTTAGGTTATCATTGAAGGTTGGTCTTGCTTTTAAAAAAAAATAATAATAACAAAGGTAAAGGAAAAAGTAAAAGCACCACAATGGTGCAGAGAGGAAACTAAAAATTAGATCATGTCTACCCAGCCAAATGTCGCCCCCACACGATGCTGGTGGTTTCTTTGACTCTCATTTCCTACTGATTCTAAAACAGACCGAGCCCAGCAGATGTTAGAGTCTTAAAACTCAGCAGTTTGTAATGTATGCAAAAGTGAAAATTATTAGAAAATAATTTAATTAGTGAATATTTTTATCAACTGATCAAAACAATAGTTTTATCAAAACACACACAATCATTTTGTGCACAGATCAAAGTATCCAGAATATTCTAGATCATGTGCACCTAAATAAGTGCTGTTCCTCTGCCCCGTGGCCTTCCCCCATATCTCAGCCGTCCCTCTGCCCCTCCCCACCTTCTATGGCCCTAAAACGTCTGCTCAGCTGTTCTCTCCGCAAAGATATTCTTTAACTCTCATATACACAAATGTACATAGAGATTAATCATGCCATTGTTTGTGCTACTTCCTGTTTTTCCACTAATATTGATCATTATTACCATAAATCACATATCTGAATACCCACTAGCCCAGGACAAGTGATCTGTCTCACCCTTCTTGTTTCTGCATCACCCAGCGTGATACCTGTAACTTAGTAGATCCTTGTTTAATGAGTGTGCTTGAACTATTATACTGGTAGTATATCCATAATTTACCCAAGTTCAGTGTTTTTCCCTAAAAATGTTTCCTACGATTGAAAATGTCTGTAATTTTGCTACTAGCAATCACTACCCTAAATTACTGTAGTTAACTGAAAGTTATCAGAGTCTCTGGAGTACCTTCTACTTTATTCCACTTGATGGCGCCAAAAGGTTTTGAACAACATGTATTGGCATCACCACAATTTCAGCTCAGAGACACAAAGCAAGATCTAAACAAGGTTCTTTGAACTGTTTTAATGTAATAAACGTTCATTATCCACAGCTGTTGCCCACTGTGGATTTTTAATAGTTCTGACAGATCTGGAAATGACAAGGGAAAGAATAAAGAATGAAAAAACATTCATGCAAACAATGGTATTTTGAACCTTAAAAAAAAAAATCAGAATTCAACCATTTGGTCAATCTGATTTAGCAAGGTAATGGAAAGCTCGGAGAAAGCAAATATTTAACACAGAGGTAAGCGGGATATCAATAAAGTCACTCCTCCCGTTACCCTCTGATGCACAGGCCTTTATTTCTGCCCCACCTCATCCATGATGAAAGACAAGTAACAGGACGTAGCAGAAAACACAGCTAAGAACAAGAAAAGATTCCTGCAGAAAAAGCAGCAAATCTAAGGGAGAAAATTTCAGCCTCAGGAAGAGGAAGCGCCCATAGTGCACAGTCAAGTGTTTTCATCTGAGAGGAATCCAGGAAGCAACGGGGAGGCAAGGCAACTCCCATTTATCTCATCTCTAGGACCTACGCAAGATGTGGACACCCAAAAGAGAGAACTGCATTTGCCTGGGGACAGAATATATGTTATTTACTCAAAGTTAGATGAACGAACACACACACTCACACACACACAAAATCTTTGGCCCTCAGATTGTAAGGGTGTTCTGCTCTAAATAATATATTTTGACTATTTTTATCTTAAAATTGCTCATTCAATTTATTTATGCAAACCTTGATAGTAGAGATGCAACTTCCAACTTCTAAATTTCACTTCAATTTAAAATGAAAAGGAATTGTTGATTACACTCTTATGGCAATATATTCCTTAAATGTAACTAGTCCAGTAAACACTGTTGAGATATGACGTATTATTCTGATAAAGTTTCCAACACACAGTATCCCAGTGGCCAGAAGAAAGTTCCATGACCACAGAACAGAGAGCTTAAAGGGACTTGCTGGACAGGGTCCAGCTGACCACGTGACTTGTAAGGTTTCTTCTGTGTAAAACAGGTATAACTATGACTAGAAATATAAATTTGACAGGAAAGATACAAAAATCTCAAACAGATGATAAGACTTCCTCCTTTACAGGCAGTCCCTGAGTTACAAACATCCGACTGGTGTCTAACGCACATTTACGAATGGCAGCTCTTACAGGTAATAGGTAAATGTGCCTGTTCCAACTTACATGCAAATTCAACTCACGAACAAACCTACAGAATCCATCTCGCTCATAAGCTGGGACTGCCCATATGTCATTTTGTATTTGTTACGTCATCTTTTATATAAATAGAAGTGATGACAAAGCTCAGCCCACCAGTGACTGGTAGCAACTCGGAAGGCATCCAGTTGGCAGGCTGGACACGGGGAGCCCCAGACGGAGAATTCGTGTCATATGGGGTGCTGGATGCTGAACACTCAACCCTGATTACTGAACCAACCGGAGCCTGAACATGAAGGGCAGATACTCTGAGGGCAGGGCCCTGAGGCCCAGAGACCCACACAGAGGCCGGACGATCTCGGGAACTCGGGAAGTGGTGGAAGCCACAGGGCTGAGGAAATAGTAGGGCAGGAAAGCGACAGATCAATAAAAGCAGCTCCACACGGACGTTCACAATTCCCGGCCTAGAACCTCACTCCATGCTAATTTGGGAAAAGTAATATTTTCACATATTGATTCATTCTGAGAACTGTTCTTTTTGCTGAATTTTCATTCTCTACTTCCCACAGACTCCATCCAGGCCTCATTCTGCTCAGTGAATGGGAAAACTGTCTCGGGTACACATCTAAAAACCATTTCTTTTCACACAGTAGAACGGTGATACAGTCTCTTTCTCCTTAAAGCATGCCTTACCTCCAGAAGCCATGGCTTTAGTTTTCTGTCCAGCAAAATGTCAAATCCCAGGACTTCGAAGCAGACACTTTCACTGCCTGGAGGCTGCCCCGGCCTGCACATTCGATACGCGTGCAAGACATGAGGTTCCGCCACGATCAGAGTCTTTACCACCAGTTCCTACAAAGATGGTGACAAAGAGGGAAACTGCCTTACTCCTTTGAATGTCAAGGACATAGGTGCAAATACGCGCTGGGCCTGCAAACCGGCACCCTGGCCAGGCTTAGAACACTCTATGCCTTCCCACCCTGCCCTGCTCTGGCCTCCATCCTCACTCCCCTCTGCCCACTACCCTCTATCACTCACTCACATTGAATTCCTCAAGAAAGTGGCACTTCCTCCCACCTTAGGACCTCTGCACCGGCTGTTCTTTCTGGAACACTCTTTGCCCTCTACTGCCATGTCTGGCTCTGTGACATTCAGAGAGGCTTCCCCAGCCCCGAGTTAACACTAACCATGACTATAACCAGCTGAGATTTTCCTTTTTTTATTAGAGCAGGGTCCTTACCTCTCTTATTTACAATCCCATTACCACTGCCTACAATAGTGCCTGACATTTTAGAGACATTCAAAAACATTCGGAAATGCATAAGTGAAATAAAAGCTAGTGGCTCGGTGCCTGTGGCTCAAGCGGCTAAGGCGCCAGCCACATACACCTAAGGTGGCAGGTTCAAATCCAGCCTGGGCCTGCCAACCACCATTGTGACACCTGCAACCAAAAAATAGCCAGGCATTGTGGTGGGTGTCTGTGGTCCCAGCTACTTGGGCGGCAGAGGCAGGAGACTCACTTGAGCCCAGGAGTTGGAGGTTGCTGTGAGCTGTGATGTCACAGCACTTTACCCGGGGGACAGCTTGAGGCTCTGTCTCAAAAAAAAAAAAGAAAAGAAAAGAAAGAAAGAAAGAATGAAAAAGAAAAGCTGGTAACCACAGCTTCTCCTTGTTAATTAAGTAAGGGTAGGAGCCTGCACTAGCCCCACACAGAAGGGGAGGAAGGAGGCAGGAAAAGCGAAGTCCAAGGACAGTAAATTATTTTGCAAACAACAGAATGGAACCCTCGACAGAGGCTGGACGAGGAGGAAGAGAAAATCTGTTCAGAGCCGAGTTTCTTTGCAGTGATGATTCGTGGCCCACTGGGCCAGTGACAGAAGCCGCTGTCGACGTCTTCCGTGAGGAAGCCCTTATCAGTGCTAGGCTGAGCTATCCATGCTAATAACGAAAGTTGTTTTAATTAAGCTTGAGAGAAAGCTATACATTATGGAAAAGCCGTCTCACTGGTTTTTACAGCAAAGGGTTGCCATTTTAACTCCTCTCTGCAGGTACAGGCCATACAGAAGGGCAGTGAAGAACTCAGCTCTCAAGTCAGACTGCCAGGGTTTATTCTTGACTGCGCTACCTGGAGCTGTGGAACCTGTCACACTGCCTGAACTTGGTGAGTTTCATTTTTTTACTAAATATAAACTGCAAAAAAGGTAGATGTAAGAACAAAATGAGATTCTGTGTAACACGCTTAGCACAGTGCCCAGATCAGCGTGCACCAACAGTTAGTTTCAGCTCCTGAATATCAGCCTAATGTCACTGTTACTCCATCGTTCCTCCAGAATCCCATCCCCCAGGTCAGACACAAATATCCCACTGTCTGGTGGAACAACATTTACTAGATGGGGAAAATGGGGGAGACGAAAGTTAGCATCATCTTTCCCCAGAACCAAAGCCCAGTTCATATTTGGGGATCAGTATCAGAGATACCATGAGAGGTTGTTCTCAGAAACTTTAGTTCCAGATCTCAAATTCCTGATAACACCCTAGCATATAAGATAAAAGGTAGAGGCTATTTCATATAATCTTTGGAAATATTACTGAAACCACTTGGAAGTAGAAGAAAGTTAAACTTTGGCTAGTAAGTATCTGTGTGAAACAAGACAGGCTGACGGGGCAAAGTGAATGCTAATTGATGCAGAATGATCCACTTATTTTTTTCTACCTGGAAAACAACACAGACTGCAAGTAGATGTGACGATCAGGAGCAGTGTAACCACACACAAATGAAGTTCCACTATTGCTTTTGAGAATGTCCAGCACAGAGTCACTTTGAAATATGATTTGTAGATTTTTACTTTCAGTAGATAAAAAGCATTCAGTAGGGAGGGTTTTTGGAGTGATTACACTTATTTTTAATCTCCGTGGCCTGACTTTGCCTTGATTTCTTACTCATTACTGGCCAGCATGAAAGCACACAGCTCTGTTCTTCACCAAGGTGTTGACGAAGCTTAGTTTTCACATCCTGATGACTACTTTTGAGAGAAATTACCCCCCAGAAAGAGGTCATTGAAGAAAAAGTCTTAAGTTAATCATGGAGTTCATAAACTGAGGTAGACAATGAAAATTTACTGCATAATTGCCTCCTCCAACTCTTCTTGTCATTCTTTTTATATTACCCCACTGATTCGCCTCAAACAGTGCTCTCTATAAAGTACACCAGGTCTTAATAAAGACAGCAAATTTTCAAATAATTACCCAAATGCAGAAAATTTGACAAGATAATTAAAAGTACTTGAAAAAGTTAAAAGTTGCTTATTATTTAGCTGGCTATTTATAGATTGTCAATGTACATTTGAATGATCACAGACAAGAATGATGGAAAATTTGCTCATTTAGAGACAAGACTAGGAAATGCATGGGAGCTTAACAGAACCCCGTTGGCCGTGTTTGGGTCATATCTAAAAATCATACTTCAAGGCTCTAACAGAAAAGCTAATTTCCATAACCTCTCTAGAATGAGTCTTGCTTGCAAACCTTCTCTTAATTCGGTTGTGTGGGAAAGTACCACTTAAAACTCCTGTATGGGAAGGTGATGGTGCTCATTTTTCTGTCTGACAGATTGTCTTTACACATCCCCAGGGTCACCCAGCAGGTCCTGCCTTCACACCAAGACTTCCCCAAAGAACCAAACCCACATGGAAGTTAAAACTTTGGCCAAGAAATAAAAAGATGCCAGAGGGTGTATAAAACCTTCTTCAACCCACTGATCTATTCATTAATTCATTAATTCATCCAGGCATCATGAGGTGTGATCTTCCATCAACAAACTACCATACAGATTAGTGAATTTCACCATTTAGATGGTCCTCTCGTTATCAGTATAGATAATGTGGGAATTTCCACAAAATTTGTCTTTAGGAAAGAAACAGATAAATACATAAACACTATTGTGGCAATCAAATTTCGTATCAGGTGTTATTAGTCTAGCAGGAAGATACCCGGAGGGTTAACAAATTGGAGGACATCTGACCACCATACATGACAAGCATCCTCCCTGCCTCCCAAGTTAAGCCTTGGTTTCCAGAGCCTAACTGGGGCTCCATATACTCTTTTCAGCCACAAATCCTCACGAAGCTCCTATTTGGGACAGCCCACATCACGAGTCTCAGACCATTCTACCTTCTCTTATGCTTTTTCTCCATCTAAAATTCCCTCTGTCCCATCCTAAGCAGTGAGAATCCTACTTGTCCCCGTCCAACCTAAGTTCTACTTCCTTCGTGAAAATACTCTTTATCTGCCCAATTTAAAGGAATCTGTTCTTTATTTAAAACTGCTTGAGGGTACTGTAAACGAACGCTGAGAAGAGACAGTGATAATTATGGAACGGTAGAGTCTTACTGAAATGTCACTCCAAAACTTAGCAACATCATGCTGGTTGGCTTGGAGGAATTCTGTAAACCATTTGATGGAACGTTTGCTGCCTTTGTTTTCAGTTTCATCCCGTTCAAAATGCTCATTATGCTTGTTGACAGAGTAGTTCGTCAGATGCATGTATAACTGTGTCTGTAACAAGTAAGAACCAAAGCCATTACCACGTGTGAGCGTCTACAACTGTGAGCTGTCACAGACAAGACAGCCATCAAAGACTAAAGACAATTTTAAATTTTACACTATACAGATTGACAATCTCACGGTTATTTAGATAATATTCAAATTAAATGGAGTGACACATTTCCTTCAAAGACTTGAGAATGTAATCGTCTGCAGAGTTACTTTATACATTATTCAAACGCTATCTACCATAAAAAGGATCAAATTAACAAGAACATGGAAAGTAAATTAAATCAAAAAGTAAAACTATGACTTGCTAAGCAAGAAAAGTGCTCTGCGTTTGGTTTTGTTAGTTTGTTCTTAATGGTTCAGGCTCTGATAGTTTTCACCCAACTTTGTTTTGGGAAAGAAATTTTCTGAGAGATCATTCTATGTCTTTTCAAAGAAAACTAAAGGAAGGGAGGGGAGGGGAGAGGTTTGATAGAGGGAGGGTAATCGGCGGGACCACACCTATGGAGCATATTGCAAGGGTACAAGTCAAATCTATCAAGTGTAGAACATAAATGTCTTAACACAATATCAAGTAAATGAGGAGAAAGCTACATTAGTTAGTTTGATGTAAGCACATCAAATTGTATAAAAAAAAAACACATTATACCCCACGTATGCATAAATGTATTCATGATCTATGTGTAGATGACTAAATAAATAATGAAGTCTCAAGTATGTAAAGTAAACAGAGAAGCAGGACACCTGAGCGTCTGCACTCCCGTACTGATCAGTGGGCCGCTGTACAACTTCTGGACAAGACGCAGTGCTCTCAGAGCCAGCAGACAGCACTGCGCCCACTCAGTGCTCCACTCAGCACTGCGCCCCTCCAGATGACTAACACCACTGCCCAGGGCGCCATGCTGGGGCTCCTATATTCCTTGATACTATTTTCCTCAAATAAACTTGAAAAAAAGTCCAAAGTTCAAAACTTCTCATATTTTCAATTAATATGCCTCTAATGACTCTCATCAAGTTAGGGTAAACATTCATCAAGTCTCTGTTTAATTCCTAACTACCTCGTGGCCCTATGCCCGCGACAGCACCACTTCCTCAGGTGAATAAATACTTAGTACACATGGGTATTATCTTCATTTGTTACTAACTAACCACAGTCATGTCAGATTTTATTTTCACTGCAGTTACTTATGTCTACAGTATTGAAATCTTTGAAGCAAGTAGGCAGAAATGATCATTCGAGTTATTTATTAACCCAAGTGCCTCCGTCTAATTAAGAATTTTTTTGCACTCATTCGGCAATAATTAAGAAGCATCTACCGTCTGCAGGAATTTGTGCTGAGCACTGTGGCTATAAAGGTGAACCAAACAGACACAGTCTCTATCCTTATGAAAAGGAAAAAGCTTTAAAATTAAGTGATACTTAAAGGGCATAAACTTGATGCTTCTCGAATTTTAAGTGCCTAATCTAAAGACAAAGGAAATTAGTCAAACTATAATATTCCCTATTTCCCAAAATAGAAATCTTTCCCTTTAAAAAAGTTGCATGAGAAAATAATTTTTTGAGGCACTCCCTAATTGGCAAGAACAGCTCAAAATCAATAACAATAATAATAAAAACACTAGCTATTCTAGTAAGTATGTAGTGGAACTTTGTGCCTTTCTTAAAATGTTATCTTTGTAAATGTCATTGGAAATTTCACAATCTCATACCTACCTTGACAAAGATCACTGCCAGGTATCATTTGCCATAAACAGAAGTAAAGATAGCTATGAGCCCTGTATCCGCCAGCAGGCGTGACAATGATATAACCAGACCAGCATATAGATATAATAATTTTCAGCATATTGATATAATAATTTGGGATCTATGAAGGTTTTTAATGATTGGTCTATCACTAGGCTAACTAGGTAACGAAAAGTGAACATTTATTACATATTTCTTTTTTTTTTATTATATATTTCAGGGTTTGAAATTCGGTCATACAATCTCCTTATGTGTAATTATGAACATTTAATTCTTACAGAAATACACAGCTCATTCCAAAATAGATGCTCATTATTTTAAAAATTTGAAAGAGAAAAAAGGAAAAGAAATACACAGCAGGCTGCCATTGAAAACAATGAGACCATTTGGGGTTTCATTTTTTCTAGTCTTTTCTTCTTAAACTTATCTTTTACATCATGGTGGTCTTACTTTATATATATTTTTTTACTTCACTTTATTCTGTGAAGGCTCAGTCTGTGAGTTTAATTGTGTAGTTTTACATATATGTGAGGGATGTTGATATTTACGTAAGGGAACATCTTTCATGCGTGTGAAAACCAACCGGGAGCCTCTGTGATCAAGCGCGTGTAGCACAGTCAGCCCAGTGGCCTCCTCTGCTTTCTCCTCATCTTTCCTCATGATTTCCAATGAAGTGGGCTTGAGCAAACGATATAACGTAGGGTATTAGAATAAAGTACTTTGTCATCTAAAAGAAATTCCAGGTGTTACCCTTTCCAATACTATCAAAAGATCATCACTACCTTCCATCATTTATTCTTACCTACTCCAATTATTTAAATTATAACCTATAAACTACCAAGTCCCAAATCATGCCTGTAGCTCAGATCTCTCTTCTGAACTTCAAACCTGTACTGTGTGCCCAGACGCAGATAGAATAGGTCCATTTGAAGACGCTCCTGCCATTTAAACACATCAACTTTCCACAAAACCGTTCATGGCTCCTGTATCCCCTTTTCATGGTGAGTGTCACCCCATCCACCCCACTGCCGAGGCCAAAATCTGAGTTTTATTCTTGATTTCCTTCTCCTTTTCCCTCATTCCATTAATCCGACCTGTAACCATATTGTATCAATATATCCCAAACTGATGCTCTTACTCTGAGTCCAGCCCCACTGCTGTTATTTCAGTTGAAATCCTTTTTACTTTCATACGTGGTCAGACTAGAATCCAGCCTCTGTCTCCCTTACTCTCACCTTTCCCATCCATCTCTACCCCCATGTCACAGTCCCACACTGCAGACCAGTTGGACATTTTAGAAGTCTCATTCCTTTCTTTCCTTCATTTAATACTTGTCAATGTTTTCTTTCATCCTAAATTAAATTCCCAAATCCTACACAAGGCCTACAAAGCCTCTAAAGATCTGAATTCTAAGACTCCCCAACCTCATCTCTGAACAGCCCCTTTCTTAGTCTGTTCTTTAGCCAAACTGAGCTTGTCTGCCTCCTCCAGACAGACCCTCTTCTCTCTTACCTCTGAGCCTTTCTTTGCCGGGAGCTCCACCCTGCTCCCACCCCCACCCTGGTTAACTGCTCATTATTCAGATCTCCATTTACCCTCTCAGGGATTGGTGCCCCTGCTGTGCGCTGCCATCACACATCAGTCTCTCAGTCTCTGTGGCACTTAGCCTCAAGCATTATAATTGCTTATATTATTTTCTGCCTCTCCACTAGACTTGCTCCTGTGAGGTCAAGCACTATATCTGTCTTGGTCACTGTTTTTCCAAAACCAGCACAAGGCCTAGAACATAGTAGAGTTCACACATGACTTGGTGATTGGCTTTGTCTACGCGTGTATGGCCTTTAATGAGATCATAAAGGTCTTTCTCTTAACTTCCTCTCCTATGAAAAGTCTGACAGTTCCCTTGAAGGTTTACAACATTTCTTAGTTTATTAAACACAGAAACATTTATGATCAGCTATTATTTAATTTTGAAAATATGTGGCTCAAGTGGCTAAGGCGCCAGCCACATACACCTAAGGTGGAGGTTCAAATCCAGCCCGGGCCTGCCAAACAACAATGATGGCTGCAACCAAAAAATAGCCAGGCATTGTGGTGGGTGCCTGTAGTCCCAGCTACTTGGGAGGCTAAGGCAGGAGACTTTCTTGAGCCCAGGAGTTGGAAGTTGCTGTGAGCTGTGATGCCACGGCACTCTACCCAGGGGGACAGCTTGAGGCTCTGTCTCAAAAAAAAAAAAAAGAAAGAAAGAAAGAAAATATGACCACTCTTAACAGAATTCATTATGTATATAATATTGGTGGTAGGGGGGACAAAACCATGTCTTAGAAAAACTGGGAAACAATAATTAATTATAATTTTTACTATAACTAGTATATTCAAAAATAAGGTTGAGTGTAACTAAATTTCAAGTGTGCATAATAAATTATAATCTAAGTTTCATAAACTATACATTACGGTTATGATTGCCTCTTAAATTATAACTTCCATGAATAGCTACAGCAGCACAAAGGAAACTTGAATGAAAAAATATCTACAAAAAGCTCCATTTAATAGATTTTAAAATGCACACTGAAATGGCTAATTTATGTTTTAATTTCTCATTTGGTCAATGTAAATGTACAGCCATAATTAATTGCTTTCTGATAATTTTTGCTTTTTCTGTTTCACATGCCTCCTCTGCATTGTACGTGTTCACATACTGAAATGCCACCTGCTCCATGAGGAGTTAAACACAGGTTGTCCCAACACTCAGCTTCATAACACTTCATAGCACTCGTCAATTGCCAGTTATGATTATTATTATTTTTTATTTATAGTGTAGTCTTGTCTATACAATACCACTGCATACAGATATATGCTCTGAAATCCAGCCTTGTGCTCACATCTAGAGAGGGTATGTTTTCCTAATCAACCAGCTTAGAGCAGACACCTTTTTATTTTTTTAATTTTCACAACCGTACCTGTAAATTAGAAGCAGTTTTATTTATGCATGTGATTCTTCTAGACCATAAAAACCTCAGAGGAAGAATTCTGATTCACATAATCTTTATGCATAATGAGTGTTCCAAAAGTACATAATGAACAAATGAATGAAAACATAAATTCTTTGGATGTGACTTACCAAATTGGACTCATTAGGTGGAATGTACTTCTCTGTTCCCATTCGCACAAGTCCATCATGGTAGAGAAATATTTTTAATGGATCACATGATGTTACCAGAATATAAATTCGTAAATCAAACTTATAACCTTCCATGAGGAAAGGCTTCTCAATATATTCTTGAACAATCAAGTGATCCTGAGATGGAAGTTTGTCACCATTTCTTATCAAAGAAATCCTAAATTTAAAGAAAAAACCAAATGAATAATTTTATACAAAGGCAAGATATTTTAAAAGTTATAGATATACTCAAGAAGAAAATATTCACATAGAGAACTCCAAAAGTCTGTCCCTCCACAAAAGCAATGAAGAGCAAAAACATTTCAGAATTAACTTTTTAAAATCCCCAAAACCAAGTGAAGGCTTACAACAGCCAAAGAACATTTCATTAAGAGAAAACAGCTAAATTTGTGTAAAAGAACTTTGTTGCATTACAATTTAATCTTGTCCCATCAACTATTCCCATGTCAATGGTGGCCTTGAACAGCCTGCATTCTCAGTACAAGTACCAGTCTTAGAGGGGGCAGAATGGGCCTTATTTTTCAGGTTGCTCATTTTAACCTCTCTAGTGACTCCCTGGAGGACCTAAAAGAGCTTGATTTCATTTTGTCTAAGGTGGATCTCAACTAGAGATGAGGAAGCTACCTTGAAGGACAATTGCTGAAAACATTTAAAGTCCTGGGCAACAGCAGGAGCAAGCAATAGGCTAACTAAAAAGAGTGAGAAGAAAGTCTGGGGAATGAGACTCTTTGGGATTTTGAAAAGCTCTGACATATGCCTGTGAATCCAGAAGACCATTTGTGTGCCCAGGGCTAGGTGACATGCTCAAGAAAGAACAGAGAAGGCTCTATGCTGTCACCTCGGTTAACTGCCCCACTCGGCCCAAGCGGGAAGCGAGGGCTGAGGCAGAGTTGCAAATTGCCTGCCTGTGTGCTACAGGGATGCCCTCAACAAACACACATAGCCCTTCTGCAAAGATTGGGCGATTCTGTTATTTGTTTGTTTGTTATTACAAGCACTTTAGAAAATCACTGTCCAATTTCTACCTGACCACTGAGCTAACAGAACAGGAACTTTAGCAGCAATGCACAATAAAAAATAGTCTTCAAAAACATAATTCAGAAGGGTTACTAAACAAATAGCAACTACTACAATAAGCAGGAACAACAAACCCTGTAAAAGAGGAGAGTCTAAATTCCAGGGTTGCTACATTATAATATTCAAAATGTCTAGTTTTCAAAGAAAAAATTGAAGCATGCAAAAAAAAAAAAAAAAAAAAAAAGAAAGTATGGCCTATATACAGGGAAATTATCAATTGAAAGAAACTGTCATTGAGGAAGCCCAGATATTGGGCTTAGTGGAAAATCAACTTCTTAACATTCATTCAAAGAGCTAAAGGAAACAATGTACAAAGTACTGAAGGAAACCATCAGAAGAAATGTCTCACCAAATAGGGACTATCAGTAGTGACAGAAATAATTTGGCCAAAAATAAAGAAACCAAACAAAAATTCTAGAATTGAAAAGTGTAGTAAATGAAATAAAAAATTCAATAAAGTAGCTAAATGGTGTATCTGAGAAGGCATAATCGTGAAGTTGAATGTAAACCAACTGAGATTGTCTAGACTGAGAAAAAGAATGAAGAAAAATGAATAAAGCCTAAGAAATCTGTGAAATACCATCAAGTATAGCAATACACACATAATAGGAAATTTAGAAGAAGCAAAGAGAGAAAGTAAAAGAAGGAAATAAATAAAAGAAAGAAATAATGGCAGGCCAGTTGCAGTGGTTCCCTCCTGTAATCCTAGCACTGTGGGAGGCCAAGGCAGGAGAATCACTTGAGCTCAAGACCAGCCTGAGCAAGAGTGAGAGGCCCTCTCTATTAAAAATAGAAGAACTAACTGGGTGTTGTGGTGGGTACCAATAGTCACAGTTATTAGGGAGGCACAAGGGAGCAGGATTACTTGAACCCAGGAGTTTGAGGTTGCTGTCAGCTGGGTTAATGCTGTAGCACTCTAGCCTGGGGCAACAGAGTGAGACTCCTTTCAAAGGAAGTCTTTCTTTCTTTCTTTCTTTCTTTCTTTTTTGGAGGGGAAGAAAACTTCCCAATTTAATTTTTTTAAAAACCATTAATTTACATTTCCGAAAAGCTCAATTAATTTCAAATAGGATAAACTCAAAGAGATCTACACCAAGATACATAATAATAAAACCATCAAAGAACACGGGAAAGTTAACTACCTAGGTAGATATAAAAATCACTGTTAGCACAATTTAGGTTCATAATTCCTCATTTTTCCTAATGACTTAAAAGACCACTGGGTAACAGAACTGTTATAAACCTAGGCTGATTAACACAGAAAAATAACAACATAAAGGGAGTGAATCTATGTAAGAAAAAAGTTTTCTACACTATTGAAACTAGGTTGATACTACTATAGACTAGAATGTTATAAATTAAGATAGCAATTATAATCCCAGGGAAACATTTAAAAAATTCAAAAATACACAGTAAAAGAAATGACAAGGAAACTAAAATAGTACATAAGAAAATAAGTAACACAAATCAGGCAAGTAATAGAGGAACTAAGGAATAAAATACATAGAAGGCATACATAAAACAAACAGCAAAAATGGCAGGAGTAAATCACTCTTTTGCAATAATTGCTTAGATATAAATAGATCAACTCTGCATAAAGGGCAGGCCTTGGCAGACAGAATTCTTTAAAAAGCACAGTCCAATGATACGCTATTTACATGAGACTCCCTTTAGGGTCAAAGACTCAAACCAGGTTAAAAGTGAAAAGATGGAAAACATACTGCAACCAAACAGTAACCTGGACTGGCTACACTGTAACAGTATCAGACAAAACAGACTGCAAGCAAAAACTGTTACAAGAAACAAAAAGTGACAAAATGTTAAAAAGTGGATTCACTGAGAATACCTAACAATTATAAATATTTATGCACCTAACAAGAAAGCGCTAAAATATATAAGACAAAAATTGATAGAATTGAAGGAAGAAACAGCCTAATAGTTGAAGTCTCCAAGACTCCACGTTCAATAATGGATGGAACAATTAGAAGATTAGCAAAGAGACAGATGCATTTAACAGACAGGAGAGATGTCTTTCACCAGGCACTACTGCATTACATGAGATAAACCTGGGGAACACAGAATGCTCTTTCAGTTCTCTGCTTTTCCAGCTATTTTTTATATTATCATCAAAAGAGATAAGAAGATTATTACTTACCTATCATGTTATGACATTAAATATAAATACATATAATTGTAACTATTTTAACATTAAATTTTTAACACTAAAATTCAGAAAAACACGAAATTACATTATTCCTCCCCCCAAAACTTCCTTTGATATTAACATATAGGGAGCCAACTTTAGCAATAAGCAATTGATAAACAATTTCCATTAACACACATTATTGTTTATTTTTAAATCAGCAAATCACCTTTTAAAATAATGTATGATTGAATTATTAAGTTATGATTAAAAGTTAAAGGGAATTTTTGAAAAATAATTTACCTAGTAGTTACATAATCCAAACATCCTTCCTTTTCCTATAGTATTTTAAATTAAAAAATCAAAATGAATCAAGTGTATTTTATTAAAAGCAGACTCTGCCACATTCTCTTTGAAAAAGTACACTGCAGAAAAACTAAACATAAGTAAGCAAAAGGAAAGAGGAATATTAAATTGCACACTCTATTCTCAGTTAACAAGTCTAGTCCTTGGCACTTTGTCTTAAAATGTGTTCTACTCATTTTCAATCCAATTACCATGGATACATAAAGAAAAAACTTATTTATAAAGCAAAGATGATAATATATTTTGCTTCAAGATTTCTAGCTATGAGAAGTTAACTCCCTTTGCATGTCTTTCTCTAAGTCAATTTTAGCTTTACTGTAGCTGCTGATTTTACTCTCCAAATCTATCAAAATTATAAATGTGAGTCTTATGTTTAAGAAAAAAATAGAAAATAGGGTTTTTTCCCCTCTAATGATTTTATCCTATTGAAGTCTGACAAACTGTTGATTTAATTTTTAGGTTGAATTACTGACGCCTGTGGGAAAGGTTCAAAGAATCAAGCTCAATAAGTATTTAGTTCCAAAAGAGCAATAGTCAGAAATCTATTTTATTATCTTTTTCATCTTGTGCCCAACCATGAGTAATTAATTACTTACATTTATCCTTTTCCTTGAAGATTTTTAATTTTTGTATATTCCAGGTTTAGAAAACTTACCCATGACCCATTGCACCATTAGCTGGTTTTACTATAAAAGTTTTTTGCTTCCTTTTTTTCTTCAGTTCTTTCACATAATTCTGAAACTGAGTATATTCAGCAGGGAAGATCCATGTTCGAGGAATAAAGGTATAATCCAGAGGCCGAGACTTGATCATTCTGTAAATCAGAGACGATAGGAAAAATAATTTTTATTCAAACTTTTATAAATTTTCTTTCTCTGTGCTACTGATAATTTACCACAAAGATTTGAATTACCTCAAGCTTTCATTTATTTATTCATTTATTCAATCATTTAATAGGTATCCATTGAGTGCCTATTCCAGACACTGGGATACATCAGTGAAAAAAATAGACAAAAACCTCTGCCCTAATATGCCCTAATTTACATACCAGTATATCAAACATTTTATGAGAGTATCCAGTGCATGCTAGATGCTTGGGATATTAAGATAAATTAGTGTGGTCTCTACCCCCACGGAATTTACAGATACCTATTAATTACAAAACAATGTGATATGTACACTAAAGGTATATACGATGAGGTAACATGTGGAAGGAAGTCATTAACTCTGCCTCCAGGACGGGGTAGGAAGTGGGAAACCAACAAGACCAATGATGGCATGTACAGCTTCTTTGAACATGATCTTGAATCTCTGGGTCACCCATTGGAGCAGTTTTTGCTGTTTTCTAGAGTTTATTTTTCTGAGAAAACCGTGTAAAAGCCTCTGAGTCAACAGGGTTTGTTTTTTTTTGTTGTTGTTGTTTTTTAATGTGAATTACCTGTGCATGTGGTTTTATAATTACAATGTATGTTCTGATACTTTTACATTTGCTAAAAATTAGGTTTGCCCATATGATATGTAACTTAGGGACAATATTGGATAAAAAAAGTTATTTTTTTTTTGATTCTCAATAAAAATGAAGAAATGATGAGAAAGATTTTTAAAAAATTATCTAATAAAGAAAATCAGATTTTCTTTTCTAAATTTATACAAGTCTTTTATAGATGAGTAGAAATTATCCCCAAATAAAATTGTTAAAAATTAAAATGGAAACATGGTATAAAGTTTGTACAGAAGTTAAGTCCTAAATTCTGAGACTAAGGTGTCTAAGTCCCTTGCCTCTCACAACTGGAGGCTCCTACAGTTATCATATGTCAAGTGGTCTTTTGAGATGATCCTGTAAAAAGTCCAATTAAAAATCTGTCAAATCCAGATTAAGCCAACAAGCTAAAAATCTCAGTATAAAATAGACTAATTTTGACTATTTTGAAAATTACATACACCGAAAAAAAAAAAGAAAAACTGAAAGAAGCACTGTAACAGTGCTCATGTCCTTGATTTTGCTTCCAATACTTTTGAATGTATTTATATATTTATTAATGACATGAAATTAGGTCAAGTTAAAGCTTTGATCAGAAGAATATAGTTTAAAACTAATGATTCTGTATTTACAAATGGTACTGTACTTTCATATATATGTTTGAAAAAAAGTTCAAGCACACATGTATGGAAGTGAAATACCTTATTCCATTGAGGCATCTATCGCAAATCACAGGAGACAAGAGGTTTTACTTAGGAATTTGAGAATATGAGATCATTTCTGCTCTTGGTTCTGTCATAGACTTAAGAATTTATATTAAATGATATTTAATGGATATATATTACTGGATAGTTTGTTAGATTGCTGAATCATAACATTTTATACAATAGAAAATCACTTTTTCCTTAAGGAAAATTCCAAGAACTCTATGGAATAAGAAATTGCCTATGTGCAGCAGCCTGCTAATGGGTCTACCTTTTTAGCCTCTTACCTCTCCCGACCAAGTCCAGATTACCATATCACCATCACCCCCAGTCTCTTCCCCTCCACCTCCCCACCGGCACTGAGACCATAATTCTGACCACTACCCTTCAGCTTCTCTCTATTCCCCATCCATCTTTCCGTGCTCCTGCTGCACTGGGCATTATTTCCGTATCTTGCCTCCTCAGGCTTTCTCCCCCACGTGACATCAGCTCATGCTGTTGTCCCTGGCTGGGTGGCTCTTACCTACCATCTTCACCAGTAAACTCCTGCTCATCATAAATACTTTAGTTTCCACGTGACTCTCTGAGGGCAACTCTCTCCCATACCTTCCTTACTAGGTCAGAGTTCCTTTACGACACTCCAGGGTAGAGTAAGCACCTCTACTTCATAGCACCTATCATATCCTGCAACCAAACGTTGTAGGAACCACAGATAAGTCAGCCCAGCACCGTGCTTGGAATACAGGAGCTAATAAATACAGTGTATGAATGACAAATAAAACACATGTCTGAAGTCCCTTTTCTCTGGCATCCATTCTTTTCCTCATAATCCCTGTTAATAAATCATAAAATCTACATAACATCTGAGGCCAAAAACCCAAGATTCATTGTTAGAGACTTTCCCCTTCCAGTCTTCCCATCTCACATCACAGCAGTTTCCAACTCTTCCCGATCCCATCTCCTTGACATCTGTCAGATGTGGTCTCCCTTTCCCCAGCCCCACTGCCTTTCTTTTGGTTTATTAACTGCTTATTATTCCTTACCAGATGTCGACAATCAACTCCTCCCACACTTTCCTCCTCCAGCCCTAACACTGAATGCATTGCCCGCAGTGCCACCACAGTTTTCTAAAGTATCATGTCTCTGCTTAAACCCATTCAATAACCCCTCACTTCTCTCAGGGGGATAAACAAATGTTTGGTGCATAAAGAGACGAATGATAAAATAAAACACATCATGGCACAGAAGCGTTGGCCTCTGCATGTCTGTCACCAGCACCATCTCAGGTTGAGCATCCCAACAGAAAGAAGCCACAGAAAACGTTTAGAGGTCCTCAAACACATCATGTTGGTTCAAACCAACATATATTTTCTCCCATTGATGTCTCTGCCTACAATCTCCTTACCTTCTTCTCAAAGGGTGAAGTCCTTTACGCTTTTCAATATCTATCTAGTATTTCATCTTCTCCAGAAAGCCTTCCCTGACCTCCCCAAACTGATCCTTTCCACCATCTCTGTCATCACCCGACATTGGTCCCAAATGTGGCCTCATCAAACTCAACTGTGTGCCTTAGTCTTTCTCCTTCACTAGAAGGTGAGTTCTAGGCAAGGACCAGGTCTTACTATGTATTTATCTTGTTTAACTAAAAATTAGCAGTCTCTTGGGACATAAAGTAGATATGGAAAAAATATTTATTGAATGAAGACTATATGCAAACTTACAAACTTTCTCATGGAAGCATGCTAATAGTTCCTTAATTATACACATAAGTTTACTAAGCTTTGTGAAAAGTCTTCTTTTTAAAAAAATTCTCTCAGTTTATCACTCAGCTTCCTTAAACTAAGAAAAAAAAAAGACAAAAAGAAAGAGAAACCCTAACCAATATAAATATAAACTGGATACAAAACCTGCAGTTTATCTGGTAAAACATTTGGGTGCCTGCCAACAGTTTTCCTCACGAAAGTAGATCATTACTCTACATGCAGTTCTCAGAGATACACAGATGAGCATGGATATCCCTGGGCAAGCACAGATACGCATGTCTATAGGCATGTGTGAGCACCGAGCGCCTGGTACAGTGCCTGGCACATGTTAGATGCTCAATATCCCCACTCGCGCACACAACCCCTAATGCAACAAATTACTTACTGCAACATTTAACTGAAAACAGATAAGTATCTACTGAAGGCCACATACAGTTAACCTCCTACTTTTAAAAGAAAAACCTCCATTGCTAGGGGATTGCAAGTTGTAGCAAAAAGTGGACTGTGATTCTGGAGACTGGGATTCCCATCTAACTCTGGCATTAACTACCTGCCTGACTTTGTGCAAGATCTTCATCTTCCTGACCCTCAGTTAGCTCCCAGGCAAAGTGAGCGACAAAGGCCTAGCTCTTTCACCTAAATATCATTTCCGATCAGTGTAACCTGTGGCAGACAGCACTCCAACATTCATAACATAAGCTTTCAACAAGTCTTTTCTATTATAAGAAAACGAAGATTACTTGGTCATATTTCTTGCTAAGAAATCCTTCCTACAGATCTCCCCCATTCCCGGAAAATGGTTGATCCTCTGGAAAATAAAAAGGTAAATATTAATATTCTCATTGACTTCATGAATATATTGATTTACACTACAAAATAGTTTTAACCATCTTATGCGTTTTATGTTTTAACAAACTGACAATTATTACTGTAAGAGATTTAAAATTAAATGACCAACAATGAATTTTCAAAATTAAAGAATCTACGATAATCAGAGAACAAAATTGCAAAACTTTAAAGAAATCAGAAAAGGGTGTTTACATAGATGATAAAGCTACAATTTTCCGTGGTAAGTGATAATTCCGTATCCAACTTCCTTTTGGTTCTCTAGACTGACCATGTTCATACGCACATACACACAGGCATTAGTGAGACAATGGACTTAGATTTGCTCCTTCTGGTCAACTTTTTATTACCCTCTACTGACAGATGAAGAAGGTCTAGTTAAGCTGCCAATTATCTAAAAATCCTTATATATGTATTGGACATTTTAGTTTGATGTCTAATTTTCTTCTAAACGTAAAAGAACGAAGCCAGATTACATATAGATGACGTGACGAGCTTTCTTCACATCCTAGGCCCCTGGGCAGCCCAGTCCATGTTTAAGTGTCACACAAGCCTCGTGGTAGGAAGAAGTTTTTCCTTCCATTCTTCCATAAAGACAGAAAGGGATGCAAAGTTAACTTTGACAAGGATAGAGGCTTCATTCAAAGAGTGATACAACAAAAAAGCAACAAAAAAGGGGCTTCGGGTCAGTTAGAATCCCCTCATTCCAGTAACTGGCCGTGATGCATTTCCCACCTGGTAATTCTGCAGTTCTGCAATTTTCTCCTGTTGCACAGCAGAATCGTACCATATGAGGTTACTCGTCTCATCCTCATCTGGAGTTTTCATAAATCCCAATTCGTCTATTACTAAACGGACTGCAAGGGAACAGGTAAGTTAAGCCAGAATTAGAATACTTCTGAAATACATTCACCGTGGAAACATGAATATGTCTGTAGATAAATTCTGATTCCCAGTTCTTCCTTTGAAAAGGTCCATTAGTTACAGCATAACCTTTTTATTATATTTTGTCACGAGTTTAGCTAGGGTCACGTTACACTCAAGAGTAACTGAGAACTGTTTTTAGGCAGCACCCCAAATCTTCCGTTTCCATCCTCTCAGATTTAACAGGTACACAAAACTGCCAAAGGGGTTGGTATTTATTTACGGCACGGTGAAAACACACGAACAGCTGAGACAACACCTCTATTCAGGAAAATGCACCTTTAAAGTTTTTTCCCCGACCTTGGGCCAGGTACAAAAGAGCAAAGGTAAAAATATCCCCGGTCATCAGACCCGTCCTATGCTTTCCACTACCCTAGTTCAAATTATTTTTAGCTCTTAGAACCAACACATCTGTGTTTACTGGGGACGTGAAACAATGAAGCAGAATTCACAGGAGAGATTTGAATGTTGGTTTCTGACCCTCTAATCCTACTGAAAACATTTATGCTCACAGGAAAACTTCCTTTTTAGAGCAAACCATTTATGCATTGCTCTGTGATCTAGATCTCACAATTAAGATACTGACATTGTCTTCCTTTGAATTTCAAGTTTAGAACAAAGATAAGCAAAATACTGAGGATAATTGGCGGCTTCCCACAGAATCCTGCGTCTTACAAGAGGAGTGTGATCTATACAGCAGAGCTTAAATGTTTTGTTTCTAAACGTTTTCTTTTTACTACTACCCTATACGCATAAATGAGGAGAAATTGTTCAGATACTTCAGTTCAAGTACAAAACTGACAACCAGACACCTATTCGGCTCAAGTCCTAGAGGCTCTTGATTATTTTTCGGCTGAGGGGAAAGAATGGATTTTTTAATGCAATAGTGCCCAGAATATAGGCACGAAAGAAGACAGTGATTGGGGGCAAATGGCGTCAGGGACTGTTGGGTTCGAGTTGCTGTTGTCCATGAGAGGCCTGGTGAAACTTGGGAGTTTTACTCAAGTCCCGGGTGACCATGTGCTACCACTAGAGTTGGGGGAGAGGTCATTCCTCTCTCCTCTGTTGCAGACCACCATGGCATCCTGAGCACTCAGCAACTGCTGTACCACCGAGAGCCCATATGAAGGGCAGGGGCAGTTGCAACACAGCCGGGAAACTCCTTTACCTGGTGCACAAGCAGAAAACAACGATAAACTCAGAAGAGCAGGCCAGAAGCACCCCTGTTCCCGAGTGTATGAGAGCTGTGGTCAGGTTCTGTCAGAAATAACTGGAAGACTTTGATGAAAGAAATGAAACTTCTGCCAGTTATTGGGGGAAGAACTGTAATGAGCTACATTAATTTAGATACTGATGTATATACAAACCCATGAGGCAGGGAACATTCAGGTTATATAAGAATATTGGGAAAGAGTCTTTTTTAATATATATATTCATTAAATCAAATTTGGAAGGTCAATCATAATTAAATCTTTATTATGAAATTCAAAGCTCAGAAAGCTGACAAAGCTAAACTCCAGAGAGAAATATAAAGAAAAATACAGGGTCAGGTATTACAATGTCCTTTTTCAGCTGAGCTATTTAACTGCATTTTTGTTTAACTGAAATTTTAGGAATTGGTATCTTTTTAAGGACACACCCTCCACTGCATAGAACAGGAATCCCCTAACATGTCAGAAAGTTTATAGAAGGCCTTTAAAAATCCATCACATAAAAGATAGTTACCGCTCTGAATTTCTACATTGTTTTTGACAAAGCTTATGTTATGAATTTCTACAATGTTTTTGACAAAGCTTATGTTATGAAAAAAACAGTTTTTCCAATAGTTATGAAAACTCCATGGTTTTTCAGTACCTACCAATTTCAAACTTTGTCCCAGCAACATTGGCTGTAATGGTTCCCTTCTTTTTCTTCTTTCTGCCTTTCCTTTTCATTGTGCTTTGATAAGGTAATTCTGTATTCAGATCCAGTGGCGAGGGTCCCTGAATAACTTTTAAAGAAATGTAAAACAACCAGATATCACTGAAATAACAACAACAACAAAAAAAAATCCATACCACAGAACACAAATCACCCCCCACATACCGTAAAATTATATAAATTCTGATACTTTAAAGGTCCCCGATTAATTTTCAATACTTTAAAAAAACCTGCAGTAACGATCCATGTTTTGTAACGTGGTCTATCTGCTTACCTCCTTGAGGCAGAGATGGCATTATCACCTGTGCTGAGTAGCAAGTAGTGTGTGCTGCTGTACAAAGCTCTCAGGAAATCTGGAAGTTCCACATAAGTCTAAGTAGGATATGGCCCCAAATCACTGAAAGTTCTTATCATATTATCTTGGTGGAATTCTCAGATTTCAGGACACTGAAGTTATGGGATTAGAAAGTACCTGCAGGTATTTTAAAATAAAGTCATTTAGAAAACAAAGTCATGTATAATATTTATATGCAATAAATAACCTACCATAGATGCTTTTATTCCCATCTATGTTTTTATTATAGATGCTCTTAGAGATAAGTAACTTGAGCTCAGGAAAAAAAAACAAATAATTTTTCTCTATCTTTACCAAGAAAATAAGCTTGAAGTACAGACTAAAATTAAGATCTTTCTGGTGTCAGAGCCAGAGTCCTTTAATCCAGAACCCATACAATCCTCACCCCAATGCCTGAAACATAGCCATCCCCCTGCTTTTAACACAATGCAGGAAATAAGTGCCAAGATAGAGGCTGCATGTGGACAGAACGCAGACAAGTGGTTCCTCTTTAAGGGGGCAGAGGAAACCACTTGCTAAAGCAGCCCACACTTGAACTGTGCCTTGAACAATGAGAGCGATTTTGAAGAGTAGAAAATGGAAGGGGTAGTTGTTGCCGTGGAGACCTTGTCTGGACATAGAGAGGAAGGCAATAATGCATGAACTCACTTGATTTGGCTCTGTCTCAAATACTGTGGTTGTATCTATATGAACCCAGGTATTTATGCCCTAACTATACCGTATGCCCTGTCTATACTGTCAACTTTCTAGTTTCAACTTCACGTTGTAAGAATTGGGGAGTTTTTATAAACTGAAAAGTTATAAAGCCTGTTACAATAAATAAAAGTTGATATTGATGCCTTTATCAGAAAATTATCAGAAGGCTTATCAGAAATTCAGATATACCCAGAAATTCAGCAACATAAAATGTGATTTATAGACATCAAACTAAATATTCGTTATTCATAATGTTTCCATTATTTAAAAAAAAATTTAAATCTTTATTTATTCTCAGGTTGTTTTACTAGAATAATTTCCTAGTATAATTTAATATCAAAACTAGGGAAATATTATTTATCACAGACCAAATGAGGATATGCACTGTGTTAATTATTTAAAATATTTTACCTCATTAACAAACTTTGAACTTAGGTCCCATTTCTCCCCATTCTCTCCCCTGGTACCAGACTCGGCTTCTATGTCTGGAAAATGGGGATAAATGAGACCTAAGTTCAAAGTTTGCATTAATCAAGGCAACACAGCTTAGAAAACAGAATTCAGACCCATTTTTGTCTGATTATCTATTCTATTCCTTTAGATCCAAGATGTTCAGCCACCACACTCACAGAGTATATAGGTAAAGGAGGAGTCCGTACTATAAGATGCGGCAGTATTCTGGGAATTCACAATACTTCAAACCAAACAGTGAGTTCACAGTAAAACGTGTCTAAACTGTTCTCACCTCCTAATTCCAAGCTGGAAACAGGCTAGATTACTTCTCAGAATGAAAGAAAGGGGTAGGCTGAGGTTCAGTTCAGTTTCTTTCTGGAGGCTTTCTGATACTTCAGGGAGGTAACTGTTTGAGTTTACAAGTTCTCATCCAACATCTTGTTACTGGAGTAAACAAAGGTCCCCTTTATGGTAACAGAGTACCTTATTACATTAAAAGTAGGTGACAAAGTCAACAAGGCTTTGAAAACAATGTTTGCCTAACTATACTAGGCTCTAAAAACAAATGTGGTCATTTCCAACTCAGATAATGAGCCAAACAACTCCGATGTGCATAGAGCTCAAAATAGGAACTTTCATCGCTTCCCCCAGCCACAGAAATCTAAAGTTCATAAAATCATCTTATCCACATACAGTGTATACCTCACTTAATTCCATTTATGGTTCGGTAAAAATGCTTGAACAAACTCAGGAAGTTCAGTCTACCATCGCAATTATAATTATTTCACTTTACTCTAAGCAGGAGATCAGACATGACAGAGTCATCACAGCACTCAGTTGAGCCACAGTTACCTACTTTCCAAAAGCCAAGAAGTCATGTTTCAGTCACCTCCAAATACCATAAGCCAAGGGTTTCTCATCCTGAGCTGCAAAGCCACATCACCTGAGCAGCTTTTAAAAATCCAGGTGCCCAGACCACACCCCAGAGCCAGGTGGGACCCAACCTTTTGAAGCTTCCCAAGTGAATCCAGTGTAGCCAACAGTGAGAACCTGGCCTGCAAGCACAGCACATTGAAAGAAATCGCAATATGCTTGTATAAAATTATAAGGAAAAAAGTAAAGCAAGAAAACTTGTTAAAAAAAAAAAAAGGCCAAATAGGAGAAAACCATCTATAAAAATCCTGTCTAATTGAACTAAAAAAATTGAGAAAAAGAATCAGAAAATCAGCAGACACTAAAGATTTCTAAGACAAAGAAATCATTTTCAAAAGGAATTAACGTTCCAAAATTTCAAGCAAACGTTAACCTTGAACATAGAACTTCTAAGTGCCAATAAATACATAAGATAGAAACAAAACCAAAACAATTTCAGTACATTTGTGCCAGGGAAATAGTATTAAGGTGTGGGGCCTGTAGGAGGTGATTAGGTCACGAGGGCTCCTCTCGCATGGATGGGATTAAGGCCTTTATCACTTAATGAAAATTATAAAGATAAGGCAGTTAACTTTTATATGCACAAGTAATAATTCCAAATATCACATTGTGATTGAAATTTTGTCCACTTTTGTGCTATACCACATTAAATTTCAGCGCTTGGTTCCCACACCAAATTTGATATATTATTTTTATTGTCAGAAAATAATGTTTTTTCTTATGTGAAAGAGAATGAAAGTAAATGAAACATACATCTTTTAAACATCAAAAATTGAAATCTTTATTTGTTTTGAATATTATTCAGATTAGATTTAATGTGCGTCTTAGAGCAATGTTTCTTCAACTTTAATGGGCAAATTAACCACCTGAGACTCTTGTTAAAGTTCAGATTCTGGTGCATTAGTGCTGGGGTGAAGCCTGAGAATCTGCATTTCTAACAAGTTCCAGGTGTGCTGGTCAATGGTACGCACTTTGAGTAACAAGGCTCCAGAATGATCACAACCTTTAAGATTATTATGTTAACACAAATTTTTTAACTTAATGCAGTTATTTATTACATGTAAAAATTAAGAAACTATAAAATGAGTTTTAAACTTCGGTAGGTGATTGTGAAATTATATATTAATGTTTAAAAGAGTCCATGAGTCATAAAAGGGGAAGGGGATTGGGAAATGCTGGCACTGAAACGTGCTTCTCAAAGGATGGTCCAAGGACCAGCAGCAACCAGCGCCCAGCACCATCCACAGAGTTTTTAGAAATGCATATTCACAGGCCAAACCCCAGAACTTCTGGATCAGAAATATGAGAGTAAGACCCACCAATTAACAAGTTTCCAAGTGATTCTGAAGTGGGCCAAAGTTTGAGAATCTCTGGAGTAGAGGATCTGGAGCTGGTGGCATGTAAAAGGAAAGGCGGGGATGGGGAGGACACTGGGAGTGGAGTCTGTTCCCTCCCCGTTGGTCTTTTTGGAAAGCACATCCACATGGATAAAAGCATTTGCCAAGCGCGGCTCTTCTTTTTTTTTCAGAAGCTGCTCTGGCAAGCACATAGAAAGTAAGTAATTTGCTACAATGGATCTCACTGCTACTGCTGACAGCTCTCCTAAAGGAGATGGGGTTTGCTAGAGCTCTAGAAAGACAGTTCCTGGGGTCCCCAACCCGTGGCCCACAGGTCACATGCAGATTAAGTGAGGAATGTTCTGCTTCTCTGTGATGTAGGATATTGAAAAATTATGCACCCACCTTTTTATTCTCCCCCCTCCAACGCTAATGCTTTTGTTAGTATTTGTAGATTTAGCGTGTGGCCCAAGATAACTCTTCTTCTTCTAATTAGGCCCAGAGAAGCCAAATGGTTGGACACCTCTGGTTGCCTTTACCCTTTATGTGAACCCAAATCAGCTACCAATGCTGACCAACCAACACACTCATTTTATAGATATCCAGTCCATGAAAACCCCTTAAACAACGAGGATTAACAGCAATCACAGAGGTTAATACTCCCTAATATTGGGCCAGAAGTATGGAAACTTGAGGTGAAAAAGTCATGGAGAGCCAAAACATTGGGGCAAGAGGAGAGAGGAAAAATGAAATTAATGTCAACAAGGGAGTGGATACACTGTGGGACACTCATACAATGAAAATAGAATACTACATACGCATACGAGGCACCTGTGGCTCAAAGGAGTAGGGCGCTGGCCCCATATGCCAGAGGTGGCAGGTTCAAACCCAGCCCCGGCCAAAAACTGAAAAAAAAAAAAAAAAGAACTAGAACACACGCTGAATCAAACAGCGCAGAGCCAAAACAGCTGAAGATCACACATAAAATATTGTTTGTTTTTAGTTTAAAGTGATTCAAACTAATATATATATTGCTCAGAAATTAATATATGAAATGAAGATAAAAGGCACTGCATAGGAATGATAACTATCAAGTCTGACACCTCCTGAGAGGAAGGAGATGCAATAGCCGGTCCCGTCTGGCAGAGAGTGAGCAGCCGTGTTCTCACACATATGAAGAATGTCTTTCTTATCCTGGGTTAGCCTCTTGAGATACTAGGCAGAACTGAAATAGCCATAATACTTTTGCTTGAGCAAAATACTGTGATCTAAATCACACAATTGAAACTGATTCTGACTCAGAAACAATTTAGAATCACCAAAGGACTCTGGGAAAAGTAACATAAACCCGATTTCTTTCCAGTAGATTAGATTGGCAGTTATTGTGGGGGCAGGAGTAAAGACGGAGTCTTCAAAGGAGAGAGATAAGAGCTTGATCACAAACAGAAGCAACAGACACAGGGAGAAAGAATACTCTACCAGAGATTAGTAACAGGACTTGCCATCAAGACGGAAAAAGTGATCTCAGACGACTTGGAGATTTCTGGTTCGGGGAAATGAGTAGAAGGTGGCTCCATGGATCGAGAGGAGGCCTGCAGAAATTAGAACTAATCTGACAGGGAAATTGATTTTAGTTTTGTATTTACAAGTAAGGACGGATGGGAAAAAACAGAAAGTAAGATAAATGAACTGAGTGCG